CGCCACCTACCTTCTATTTCCATCACCCCACTAAAACTGTTCTTGCAAAGGATACCCTTCTTAATAAATCCAATGGGTACTTCCTAGTCCTCACTTTACTAGACCTCTCAGTAGCATCCAACATTCTTATACTCTCTTCTTCTCAAAACACTCTCTTCCTTGGAGTTTCTGGCCCTGCACTCTCCTTATATCTTCTTACCTCTTTGCAAATGGGATCCACACTCTATCGGGGCTTAAATGGCACAGGCTATGCTTTCTTCTCTCACCTCACCTCTTTCAATGTCCATATTCAAGCTCTATGCTACAATAGATGGAAAATGTTTATTTCTGGAGCAAGCCACATTCTGTTTTTCTTCTGGTCTTGGTACATCCTATTCACATTTTACTAGGCCAGTTTCACAAATTCCTTATAATGTATTGAATACGCTTCCTGGGTGCTCCTCAAGTACCTTGTATTTCCACCACTACCATGTTTAATAAAAGGTACTGCAATTGCCTGCTTGTTTGTTCAAGCTCCATGTGGGCAAGACCCGTGTCTATCTTCTACCAAGTTCAAAGCTGTGTCACTAGATCTAGCACAAGGGCTAGCATACCACAGGCATCCAATATATACCAGCTTAGTGAATGAAGACACCGACACACAGGAAGAATGAAATATCTACAGAAAGACTGTATGTTACCACAATTGTTTTAAGTAACAATCTTAATTTTTTACTAAATCAAGAGACAATACCATGCACTTTGAAGGCACTCAATAAATATGGATTAATCTTGTGACATTTTAAAGCACTACCACTCTTCTAATTACTTGGGGCTTCTGCTTTCATGGACATCTCTTTAATGGGCCAGCAGGGCAAATGAAATTAAATGTACAGCAAATCCGGTCTACAGAAAAAGACTTTAGACTATAACCTAAATTCTTTTGACTGTCATTTTCTATCCTCTTATTAGCATATCTAACAAATAACTGGTCCCTATTTTTTGGACCAAAAAACACTCTAAGTAATTACAGATGGGAAAAAATCTCATAAGCCTTCTTTTTTGCAATCAAAGTAATTATTTCTAATTCAGAAATAATTTTATCCAATATACTAGTTTTTACTGGTTTTTATTACTTACTTAATTCTCTATACATCTCTGAGGTGATGAGAATACTACGTTAGTTTTCGCTGGCAGATCACTTAACTAATGAAATCAAGGTTAAGTGACCAATTGTTATGTGTAGCATTTACTTTTGCTCTCACTGGCAACATAACTATGCTTAGTAACTCAGGAGAGCCTTTGTAAAGATGAAAGCCACCAACCACTATGGGTATACTAGTAGGTAAGATTTACTTTACCTATTATTAAGAACCTTATGATTAATTACCTCTTATTACCTGTTAATTAATTACCTGCTGATTAGTAAGAGCACTTATCACATGCAATTACTATTTTAAGTGTTTTAAAGGCACTGATTCGGCCGGGCGCGGTGGCTCAAGCCTGTAATCCCAGCACTTTGGGAGGCCAAGGCGGGTGGATCACGAGGTCAACAGATCGAGACCATCTTGGTCAACATGGTGAAACCCCGTCTCTACTAAAATTACAAAAAAAAATTTAGCTGGGCACGGTGGTGCGTGCCTGTAATCCCAGCTGCTCGGGAGGCTGAGGCAGGAGAATTGCCTGAACCCAGGAGGCAGAGATTGCGGTGAGCCAAGATCGCGCCATTGCACTCCAGCCTGGGTAACAAGAGCAAAACTCTGTCTCAAAAAATAAAAAAATAAAAAATAAATAAAAATTAAAAAAGGCACTGATTCATTTAATTCTCACACAAATCCAATGAGTCAGTTATCCTCATTTTATAAGAAACAGATGCAAAGATTAAGTAATCTACATGAAAATTCCATTCATCTCTCTAGAATTTTTATCTTCAGCATTTTCCTATGCCACTAAAAGTCTATTATAAACATATCAGTGGCTTCATAATGTATGATTCACCACTGTACTGATGTATCATAATTTACTCAATAATTTCCCCATCACTAAGAAATTGTGGTTACTTCCAATTTTCTACCATTAAAAACAGATCTGCTATAGACATCTCTTCATATAAGTCTTTGCCTACATGTTTATTTTCCAAGGACAGATTCCTAAAATAATTACTAGGTCAATGAATATATGTTGGGTAAATAAATTAGTCAAAGTGCCATCATTTTGCCTGAGTTTTTTTTCCTTGCTTTTATGCTTACAAAGTTTCTCCCCAACCCAAGGACAAAAAAACATTCTCCTATATTTTTTTGGATTTAATTTGACATTTAACTTATATATGCATTAATTTTAATGTATTAAATGAACAATATTTTTTCTCCAAATAGCTAACCAATTCCAAAATTATCAGTTGAATTAATCATCCTTTCCCACTGATTTTTGCTTCTTCTTATATATATTTTCCTCTCATTGGGTTACTCTTCCTTCAGGAGGCAGTGAAATCTTGGGGAGAAAAGTTAACAGGCTCAACATAATAACTGCCGAATTTAAGATGTTTATTAATCATTCAGATGGACACATACAGTAGGACACAATAGATAAAAATGTCTTGCCTAGAAGAGAGAGCGGAGCTTTATTTGAGGGTAAAAAGATTACTTACGGTAACACAGGGAACCAAAGAACTGAGAGCCGAGGAATAAAGCATGGGAAACCATTTCAGGGCCGAGTGGCTGAAGACAGCAGTGTTAGAAGGCACAATCAGCCAAGTAGAGGGTGGGGAAGAAGCAGGAGAGAAGGGAGCAGTATAAGCCCCCGTCAGAAAGAATTTCAAGCATCATCATGAATCACACTTACACTTTTGGTTTACCTGATCAAAACAATAACATAATGTTCCACTAAAATCCTCAGGAGTACAAACATACTCTCAATTTATTGGTTTGCTATAAATAGAGTTATAAGCAGAGTCTGGCTATCAGAGCATCTTTGTACATCTCCATAGGACTTAGAAAAGAATTGTCTAAAGGTTTTAGTATATATTAAATCTAAATCTACCAGAGGTGAATCACAAGATTTTGAAATGTTTTGAGTGACAATGCTTTGTAATGTTGCTCACATACTAAATTACGTTCCTTAAAGACAGAAACATTTCTGAAAAAGAGGTAATCTGTTCTGTCTACAGAATAACCCATTTAGGCTACTTAAACCATAAGTGATGTAGGCTCTGAAGAGGAAAACAAATCCTAGCTCATGCAAAACTATACTTCTAGACTTTGTCTGCAATTATTTAATGTAAACCAAGCTCTCAACACTCAAATGTCCCAAACACCTTCACTATGTTACTGACATGCTTATCACGGAACAAGCACCTTCTTTTCTGGTGCATGACAAGTTTTACAAAGCAACCAAAATACTGACATTTTAATTATTTTGAATTTTTCTAATATTTGACCAAATTTAGATACAACTGGAGACTCTATTTACAGAAAACATGCTTATCTGCAAATGGATCTGTTTCTAAAGTGAACTATAATAAGTATACCCTGATAGCCATCACATTCACAGCTGTAAAAACCTAGGAGGAACTCACAGTTTATGCCTAGTCTCTTGATAATTACTGCATGGGAAAAAAATATTTTGAATCTGGAAGGGAAAACGTAGAGGTGTTATGACAACTTGCCTTCCATTTTACATGTCTAAATAAATATAATTTTATTTGTACTGTATCTGAATCTCTGCCCAATAAAGATCTCATATATTTATAACTGAAAAATTCACTCTTCTCAAACAAATTTACCTTCTCCCAGAGGAACCCAGCAGCAAATCAAAGGTGACCCTTGATATGGTCTGCAGGGATGGGAGTCCTCCATGACAGAAAATCTGAGTAAGAGAAAAGCTCCCAGACAAAGATGCTGCCCCAATCCAACCAAAGCTGAGTGCAGCAGGCAAACTGGAGGCACTGCCCAGAATCTTCCACTGTGGGCAGTGACCGAGAAAAGTACACCTCTGCCTCTGCAAGCCTGCCAGTGCTCAGTTCAACCAGCTTCCACTCAGATTTTAATGTTTGAGAGTATGGAATTCACCCATAACAATGTCTGCCCCTCCTCACCTTCATCAAAACCATGGATACACCTTTACTCCAAAGATAACAGGAAATCCAAACACAGTTGATATTTTAGGTCGTGGATAGACCATAGGCTATTCATTAGCTAAAGCATCTACATTGTTCCTTCCATACTTTTCTTAAAAATTCAACCAATTATCTAAAAATATATGCAAAAAGTCTTGCTGATGGGTATACTGGGTCCACTCCTTCCACAGGATCAAGTGAAAATGAGTGGTTAAATGAGTACAATAGTTAACTCACTGCATATTATGGCTATTTTCTACATTATTGAGTGTTTCTTAATTTTTAATAACCACAATAATTATTAGCCTTATACTGTAAGATAATGTGATATATGCTGCTTCCTTTGAGTAGATTCCTCCTCCTCCTTCATTTATCTGCTTAAATTCTATGTGGCTTCTCAAATAGCTCAGACGACCACCTCTTCAGTAACCATTCCTTAACCAAATGGACCCCTATCTCAATTTCTCACAATAGTCCTTCCTTTTACTGAATTAGTTGTCCCTCCTCTGGGTTACAAAATCATCCTCTGCCTATTACCTTCAAAGAAGGAATCACACTGTCCTCTATTTGTTTATAAGACATATCTCCCCTACTAGTTTTTGAACTCCTTAAAAGCAAGGATATTCGCTCATCTTTATGACTCAGCTCATAGCACAATGTCTGGTGTTAGCAGGCATGCTAAATTGTTTGTGAAGTGATGAATACATGTACGAATATGTTCAGATTTAGAAACAGAATCACAGAGATGGGGCTTTAGAAAACATTTAGTACATCCCACTTTACCCAAAATTCCCTATACAAGTATTTCCAAAGAGCTGTGTTGTTATTAAAACAAGAAAATAATTTTCCATGTTCAATATAAAATAAATATTTTTCTAATGAAAACAAGATTAAATAAAAACCTTACCGGCAAAGTTCCAGGTAGAGATGCATCAAAAAAAGAAACCAAGGAATTTGGAGGTGCTGAAAAGCGAACTTGAGATCCAGAGAATAGTTTAGAGTTGGAGGAAATCTGGGCATGAATTTCCAACCCTACCACAGCAGCCCATTTGTGTTCACTAAGAAGAAAGAGATAATGGTTAAGATGTAAGTATACTTGTCACCATGAATGAATTTCTGTAAGTCTAAACCACAAATGTTAATTTCCTACATGTCTTTTAAACTTATTATAATGTTATATCCTCATATTTAAAATGTGTCATGTTTTAGCAGTGACTAAATAAAAAACAATTCATAATAAGCACCTACATTGACATTGGCAAACAAAAATTCATTTAAAACATGGCATCAGGAGGCTGACTACATACACATGAAGGCAATAGAGAAAGGAACAAGTTGGCATCTTAAAACAATTTAGAAATGGGTATCAGGTGATACCCATCAGGTGACAACTGTTTGGCTGACTTCAGTGAAAAGCAGCATTTAACAAGTTAACTGTACCTTATCGAGTAATCATTCGGTAAATGAAGAAAGCTGATCTTTCCCACATTATTTAGAATTTAAATAAATGGGAAGACTCTACTACTAGGAAATAAGGATAAATAGGTCCACATCTCCTATTTAAAAAAGAAATTCTCAACCATGTTTTGAATTCATTTCATAATAATGGCTTGCAAGTATAATAACCAGAGAGGCACAGATGTAACCACATCACCACTAAATAATACTCTTGAAAAAAATTTGCAAGAACCCCACCATATTAAACCATCTAATATGGCATATTTTTGGTCCTCCAAATCACTTTTGATTCCTGAGACCTAATTTCAGGTTACTTTGTTCATGTTTGATTGCTATCATATCTAAGAAGTTGTTAAATGCTATAATAATCTCTCTTGTCTGGCCGTTCCTTCTCTGTTGTATCTGTACACAGATCTCTCCAGGTCCTTATAAATGTGTTTATTCCCTAGGAAATCCATGTATGTTCCTATCCTGCTCTTCTCCCAAGCAATTTTTTAAATTTTTTATATATACACACATATATATGTAAATACATACACAGATTTTGCATTGTTTTGTTTTGTTTCAATCATTTCAACACATAAAGTTCTACATCTGAAGTACTGCAAGTATAATTCTTTCTTTCCAAAGTTTGGAAACAGCCAGTAAGGGAGGGGAATTAAAGCGAGAACTCATTAGAAATTCTGCATGCAGTAAAGCATCAAAGTATTTTTGCAGTTCCATTACATGAGAGAAAAAAATGTACTTTCCATTCATAGGGAAACAATCTAATTCACGAAAAGAATACAAACTGAATACTTCTGGGCAATTTCCCTCTGTTCCTCCAACTGAAAGCAAAAATACTGCCAACCAATCTCAAAGAATAAACAAAATATTAGAACTTGCCTTATGTTTCTGTATTTAAAGAGAAACTATTTAATCCTTATATAATGAAGTATAAACAGCTGTTCAGGGGATATCTGGCCAAATAAGCAAAACTCTCTATATAACCAGAAGGGAGTATCTCTTATTTTGGCTGCGTCCTCCTAGGTCTAGACACACACATTCAACATAATACGCCTGCAGAGATGGCTAGTGTTTTCTGACTAATGACATTAAGCCAACTCTACCCAAAGCTAGTAGGTAAAGGCCCCTTTTCTACCTTTAGAACACTGCCGGCCCAAACCAGCGCTAAATAAAATCAGCTAAATATGATACCGCTACTAGTGTCACCGTCCCCACTGCTAGTGCTATTAGTAATACGACCGAATCCACTCTGTGCTGCCTTCAAGAAAATATTTGCTATTTTGCACACGCGAATTCTCCAACTATGTCTATTTGAAACAGTGTTTATATATGGGGGCAGAGCTGATAGAGGGCCTATTTTGTGCTTTTATTTAGGGTTCGGGGCGCCAGGTTATAACTCAACGCCCTCCCGTCAGCCAAAACGTCTAGTAGCTGGGCTGTAATTAGCATCATTTCCCCAGTCCTGCAGTTCCACCTTACAGTTAGGTGAACAGAAATAGTATGAAACAGAATACCCTTTCCTTGGCTTCTGGGCCGTGTGGAGGGGCTGCTGAGCCACTGAGCTCTGTCCCCTAATCCTGTTGGATGTGGACCCAGTCGGAGCCCCTCTTCGGTGGCAAGAACCGCCGTCAACGCAGGCTAAAGCCCAACGTCTTCCACGGCAGCCCCAGCGCAGCATGGGCGCCGCCATTGTAACTCCAGGGTCTTGGTCAAGTGACTCAGCCACAGTCTGCAGCGAGGATCCCTGGGAAGCGTAGTTCTAGAAACGTGTTTAAAAACGCTACGGGCTGAGACCGGAAGACTACTACTCCCGGCAACCATTGTGACTCGAAGGCTGCCGGAATACAGAGGAGAGGGGAGGAAAGGAGACATAGAGGAGAGGGTGGGAGGGTTTCTGGGTGGGGAGGTGTGACTCCTCCTAGCGGGGAGTTGGAGAGGTTTGTGGCTCCGAGCGTGTGTATGAGTTTGAGTGTGAGCGCTTGGTGCTTGGTGCTGAGAAGCGTGGCCGGGATTCTATAACCCAGTTAACCTTGAGAGGGGAAGTAAATGACCTTGACATTTCAGCAAAGACTTCCTGAGCCCCCAAGCCTATTCCGTTATTTTCTCTGTCTTCTCTCCCCGCTTTACACAGCAATTTGTGCATTAATGCAACAAATACGTATTTGCATGCCTACAGTAATGTCAGACCCGGTTCTTAGGCACTGTAGTTGCTGCAGAGACCAAGACAATTACGGCCCGTACGTTCATGGAGCTTACATTCTAAGAAAAAGAGACATACAGAAGTTAACAAAAATAAGATGCTTCCACATAGGCGGTAAGTGCTATGTTTAAGTAGAGGTATTTGGAGACAAACAGACCTAGATTGAATGTTCATGTACATTTTAACCTATTCTCCTTCTTATTATTGGCCAGTATCAGAAGTATACTCCTTATGTACTGAAGCAGATACCATCGTCCCAGTGGACTTCCTTCATTTTCCTGCGTCAAAACTTGTAAACCTTGATAAAACTACCACCAATTTCTTGTATTTGAACACAGTCTAGAATAGTTATTTAGCCACTCTCTGTTTCATAACCCTACTTTGTTCTTATAGTGCATTTGACTATCCGATGTTTACCTTCTATTTCCACAAATTCCTTGTCTGTCTTATTAACTACAGTACAAAGTAGGTTCCTCAAAAATATTTGTTGAATAAGGTAATGCAGTGTGGAGAATGCATTTGAAAGAGGATGGAGTGGATGCCATTTGTAGTAGTCATTGTTTAGGGGAGAGATGATTAATTAGGGTGGTGGCAGAGGCAAAGAGAAATGGATCTATTTGAGATATATTTAGGAAGTAAAACTGAAGGAATGTGATGAATTGGATATGATGGTGGTTGGCTAGGAGGATCAAGTAACTCCTGGATTTCTGGCTTGCACGACTGGCTGATGAAGTTATTCACTGAGCTAAGGAAACCAGAAAAGAAATAGGTTTGCAAAGAAAACATATGAGTTTGGTTGCCTTGGAGACATTCGAGAGGAGAAGTAGACATTAGTGATACCTAATTCTGAGTATAGAGCAGGGCAAGGGGAAAAGCTGCATACTTTGTATACTTCACACTGATAGGTTTTCAGTTACTGATCAATAATCCATTGATTAGATGGCTGTAACCTTTGATCTTTTCCTTTAATACTCTCGTACAATTATGATATTGTACAATTTAATTCCTCCACATGGAAGAAGGAAACTTTACTCTCTTTAAAATTGTCATCATTTACTTTTTCTATCTTTTCTTTCTACTTTTTCATCCACTATCACTGATCTAAATTGCTACACCAGAAATATTGGTCATTTGACCAAGGATAAAAATGACAAAAATGACAGGGATGGGAAGGGAGTGGTGGAGACTTGTTCCAAAATTTATCTCTAATTATTACCCTTTATTTAAGGTGCAGATGATTCTCTAGATCCTTTACTAGAGTCTTCCCTCTGAGTTTCCATGTTTTCCACCTTTACTCTAGGTAAGCTTGCTCTCTATTTTTTAGCTCCTTAGGTTTTTCTGGCCAAGATTAAGGGTCAGGGGAGTTGCCTCTGAGCACAAAATGGCTTCATTTTTGTTAGAACAACAGAGGAGAAGAGAATCTTGTATCTCTAGCTAAAAAGAGAAGGAGACCCTTGCTACCTTATCACTGGTAATCAGCATCCTTAGGAGGCAATTCACTCCATCACATGGAAGGCTGGAAATGTTTTGAAAACCACCATAAGCGAGAGCAACACACCTAATGAAAATCCTAATCTTATGGGTAAACCTCACTATAATGGAAGTTTATCTTTGTTTATGAAGCACTTTTATGCAGTAATAGGCTATCAAAGGCCCCACCCCACCACTAGAGGGAGATATAAATCCTATGCATGTAGTGTTTTTGATTCCTTTCACAAATGAAAAACGGCCAGTTTGCTGCATCTTATCTCTACCTAATCATTGTCCTTTCAAAAATCCACTGAACTAATGGTGGAAATAGGGACTTGTCAATAACCACCACTTTGGCTCTCCTCTCTCTCAAGACTATTAGTCATTTCCCGAAATGCCTATCGTTTTCCTTGTGGTTGGTCTGGTGTCTAGAAGCACTGTTTTCTGAGTGCTTCCCCTGCCTTGCTTCTTAGCTAGTTGTGCTCCCACCAAATCGCCTTCTGTGGGACCATTTCTAGACTTCCTGCTGCCTGCCAAACCTGATATCTTTCAGAACTATTACTGACAGACAGCTCTATAGCTGAGAAAGCTATTTTGGTTGCACAAACAAGGTGGCTGTCATCTGGGAGACACAGAGATTTTCATTTTCAGGGAACTCAGAAGGTAGCTGGGCAGAGTTTCTAACAAAAACAACATTTTTCTTAGGGAGAGCCTCTCAGCTCTTATTTTATCCATATAATTGATACACAGTACATATAGATTTAGAACAAGTTTTTAAAAAGATATGTAAAGCAGAGCAGAATTTCGAGTCGTTACTTACAAATGGCAATAGTTAGATGTGTCTAAAATAACATCTTGCTCTTTAGTGGGTCTTTGAATGTCAGAGTTGGAAGGAACTGGATCACCTCTGTATTTGACTCAGAATTATGAATAAAAACATATTGATTTCTGAATACAGATCATTTTTCTCTCAAATCTAAGTTGTGCTTAATTGTAATCATTCCCTTTCACTAGTTCACGATGGGATAAATCATATGAGAACCCAATGTCCTAGGATATAAAGCTTCTTTAGTAATGTGGGTACAACATGAGGGAATAATACAGGTGGTTCTAAGTTTCCATTTTTTTTAAACAAAATAAATAATTTTAATTGAAACATTAAAATCACAAGTAAAATGGAAAAGAGACAGTTTCTACTATCCTGGCAATATGTCTCGAAATCTATTTGTATACATCTTTCCAGTTAAAACTGCAGTAACTAATGTAGTATTTGATTAACTACTTTTGTCCTGTGGAAACAAAGGCAATGTTTTAAAAGCATTTAGCAGGCTAATAAACAGAATGCCCCTTGTAGTCTAACAGAGCCAGAAGCAGATGGTTATCTTAGTATTTCTTAGCACAGTTGTGAGCTTGGTCCCCGTCTTGGCTGTGAGTTTCTGTGTATTCTATGGCTATGGAACTCAGCCTGCTGTCTTTAAACTTTATGCCACATGGGTAGAGAGGGAAGATGGCTAGGTCAGTATATATTCTCTTAAAAAAAGAGAAAGAAACCATAGCAGTAACAACAGCAAAATCCATATAAGATGATGTATATATAACAAAAATTAATAGCATCTTTTATGTTGCAACTAGAAGAGCTCCTATTTTTGAGAAAGCATTCTGAAAACATGAAGTTCCTTCTTAGAAAAACTACATTTTAAAATCCAGTTAGGTGTCATTAGGGAAAAAAAGAAAGACTGGGAATACATGCATGCCGAGCAATTGGGAGAACAGGATTCATTTCCTTTTATTTTACCATTAAAGTCTTGATTCTGATAAAATACCGATACGGAGGGAATAATTGCTTTCTATAGAAGATTGCTTTGCAGCAAAGAAATCTATAATTCTTTTTTCCTTTCCAGTGCCAGAAACTAGAACACCCTGTTCAATGTCCTTGTAGAGATGACAGGCCATATGGAGACGATGAGGCCAGCACATTGCTGCTTTTATGCCTGGCCTATAAACTGGAAGCTGTCTATGGTTTCTTTCTTCTATCTAATCTCAGGAGATGTTTTGCTCTTCCCCAGGCTTTTTCTGTGCTAAAAATCTGACTACTCCCTTGGAGCCAACAAGAATGAATTAAGAAAGAAGCTCCGCTTCTATACATCCTTTGGTTTATTACGTAATTAAAAGAAGACACTCCTGAGTTGTAAGTAATGGGTGGTAGAACACGTTAAATTCCATGTTTCTGTAAACTATGTTTTTGCATGTGGTCAGATCCTTCTATGCACTAAGAAGTTCTCTCTTTTGTGTTTTGGAATTGGATATTTGGCCTTCAAAGTTAAAGAGCTTGTATACTCACTACGTGCACACGCGCACACACACACACACACACACACACATCACCACACACACACTTCTAAGCAGTATCTTAATTCAGGAGCTCCAATGATAATTATGAACTTTTAGGTTTCGAAACAGATGATGTTTCTGTATGTCAGAGCGTTCTCCTGATTTTAAGCCTAAAGATGTTGAGTAGAAAAGTATGGTGTTAAAGAACTCCACCACCAAGACATGTGGCCTTTGATGAGACCTTTCAGTGAATGAACTCCTACTTGATAATTGAAGGAAGATATATCAGAGTCCATCAGCGTGGTACAGAAGAGAACAGAAGAGCTTTTCTTACACATTCTGCCAGGTAATTGGTGTCATTACCTGTGCGTATCTGAACTGGTATCTCTGTATCTAGGCCACCCTTGAACCAAGAATGGATGGACTGCACAAAGCAATAAAGGTTGGAATTGTGTTGGTGGCAGAGCCTTCAGGGGTCACCACATTTTAATGTATAGCCGTTTCGAGGAAATTTAGTGCTTCATGAAGAAGTGCCAGATTGACTTAAAATCAAGCAGCAATCAGGTGAGACAACCACTGAGATAAATGCAAAGAGAGAGAGAGTGAGAGGAGAGAGACAAAAAAAATTCCCAGGGATTCATGAATACTAATTAGGGAAAGACCAGCACACATATTATTCATGTCTCCTTGGAGTCTGAGTCTAGATTCTAATTCAACAATAAGATTTTGATGACTTGGCCCAGCAGTGATTTCAGTTAATGTGGATTCCACACTTACATCAGCTTGGCTACGAAAAGGCATTTTCATCCCCTCGCATATAGTAAGAATGAAGATAAATGGTATTAAGAATGGGACTGGATACTGTGTTTTTCCAAAGACAAAAGAAAGTAAGAATATGTAAAATGCCTCTCTAGCAAACAAGAGCCTGTCTAGCCTAATATTCTGTTTGTGTTCATTCCTTATAGATGTTATCTTTCTTTCAGCTGCTGTAGCATACTGGTATGATATCTTTGGGAAACATTCTGCAGTGATTCAGAGAGCGATGAATTTTAACATTTCATATGGATTTATTAAATAAATGCATTATCTTCTACTTACTGCATTGAAATACAGCATTTCATGAAATGTTCTTATTGTTTATGAGGCCAGTTTGACATTTCACAATCTCTTAGAAATTTACTGTCTTTAGCAAATGTCAAAAGGAAGAATCTTGAGTTTAGGAAAGAAAACATTTGCCTTGCTCAGTTCTCTAGGCCAGTGGTCCCCAACCTTTTGGCACCAGGGACCAGTTTTATGGAAAACAATTTTTCCAGAGACTGGGGGGTGGGGTGGCAGAGGAATGGTTTTGGGATGATTCAAGTGCATTACATTTATTGTGCACTTTATTTCGGTTATTATTACATTGTCATATGTAATGAAATAATTATACAATTTGCAGCAATGTAGAATCAGTAGAAGCCCTGAGCTTGTTTTGCTATAGCTAGACAGTCTCATCTGGGGGTGATGGGAGATGGTGACAGATCATCAGGCATTAGGTTCTCATAAGGAGCATGCAACCCAGATCCCTTGTGTGTGCGGTTCACAATAGAGTTTGTGCTCCTGTGAGAATCTAATGCCGCAGCTGGTCTGACGGGAGGCAGAGCTCGGGTGGTAATGTGAGTGATGGGGAGCAGCTATACATACAGAGGAAGCTTCTCCTACTTACCTGCTGCTTACCTCCTGCTGTGTGGTCCAGGTCTTAACAGGCCATGGACTAGTATTAGTCGATGACCCAGGGGTTGGGCACCTCCACCCTAGGCCAGCCACCATCTTAGGTACTTGAGGCCTTTTTCTTGGGATCTATGACTAGAGGATATTAGCTGCTATGTAACCATCCCTCTTATGACAATTCTGGTTACTTCTCCAAGGAAGATCAAGAATATTTTGCAACTGGTCTACATTGTGTATTAACTCTTTCCAGAAACTTCTACTAGGCTCATGCTTATGCCCTTGTGTTCTCTTTAGCCAACAGAGACATACGGTGTCACTTATTTCAAAGTGATAATATCCCTTTGCAGTGGTTTTTATTGTGCAGTGGATCAGATGAACTGCGCTTCTCACTGTGTAAGTTAATAGAAATTGTCCATGAACTTGAAAAATAAAATTAAGTATGTGTTTTGGGTTGGATTTCTATGCCACCATTTAATGAAAAGTTGTGTTTACTCTTTCTTCTTTCAAAAAATGCTGTTACTCATTTTCAATTGTCAAGAAACAGCAAGCACAGAAATGGTAATTTTCACTATGTCTGAAATATAACATGGCCAGACAGGCCAAATTACAGAAAATCAATTAGTTTCTGTTACAAGAGTCATGTATCTGAGGTCTTGTTCTGTTTCTGGTTACTGTAGCTAACGTCTGCTTCTCTCCAAAGGAATTCTCAGGAGAAAATCAACCAAAGACTTTTTTTCTAGGGCAAAAACCTATAGGACCTAGACATTTCATCTTTGTCAATTAAAATAGAGACAGAAATAAATTTCTTCCTTGAATCACTTCCTCTCTTCCTGTACTTTTAACCCACAAACTCTTGAAGAGAGTTATCATTGAGTTTCTGAGGCCTAAAATTTCCAAATGCTACTTCTGTATTACAGTCTCTATGCCTTTTTATATAAGGTAAAGACCACACTGCTTCTCAAGCATGTAGTTTCACATAAATCTGATCTGTGTCATGAACTCTTCTCTTGATCTAAATCAACTAACAAATTCAGCTGGACAAATATACCTAGGCCCAAAGTTTTTATTATTCATAATGTTCCTGTTTCATAGATTTACAGTTACACATGGGTTCTGGCAAGAAAACACTGCTCCCAAATTTCCTTGCTTTTCTCTTTTATATGCTTTTAAGGGGAGAGCTTTTGTTGCAAAGATTCATTTTGGTGTCAGATAACTTCTTGAGTTACACCTAGGGAAACCCAAGAAATCTAAAAATAGGAACAACAATTTTTTTTGTAAAGATAAACAACATTAATTACTGGCTTCAGGATATTACTGATTCCATCTTCCTCATTATAGAACGGGGCAGCCATAATCAAGAAAATCTTCAATTAACATTAAAGATTGCACTCGTACTAAACTCACACTGAAAGCACAGATGTAGAAGGATTGTTTGAAAGCGTTGTTAAGAAACATAAAACTTGTGGTAAGCCAAGTTATAACTCTAGTGTTATCTAGGGCTTATAATTAATTTTTTGAAAAGCAAAACACTTTTAAAAATAGTCTTGTACATTGAATACCAGCATGCTGCTGCTTTTTGTAGAGGGATTCCTGTAAAATGCAAGTTTATTTATAGATTGCAAGTGACTCAAAGATGTTACAGTATAAAAGAAAATGATACTCTAGAGTCTTTGTTTGGGGATGTTAGGGACTATCTTGGAATAGTCAATTCACTCAGAGGATTGCTTTTAATCTGAAGCAAAAGAAATTTCATCAACTGAAATTGTTGGCCAGATGGAATTTCCTGATTAATTTTTTAGTGTTTGGTATTAAACATAATTATGAAAAGGGGAGTTCTGAGAGTAAACCCAATTAACATTTCATAAAATTTATTGCTCTAAATATGGCTTACCCTTTATTTTGTATCTTCCCGGATAACCTGCCTTTACCTTGAAAAAACCTAACTGGTGAACTTCCCTCCCTCCTTCCCTTGCATTCCTTCTATTTCTTTGCCATTCAACTTCCTTCTCTTTTCTTATGTGTAAGGGCTCTATTCATTGAGTCCTTAAAAGGCTACAGCACCCTTCCAGGGCTTACATTGTCCTATTCTTTTTGACCTTGGTAGAAAGAATATTTGTAACAGTATGTAATATTAAGTCCTGGCCTGGTGCTAGAATGGTGTCACTCTTGTCGTACAAGAGACTCTTAATTCCATCTGAATCATAGACTGGCACTTGATAAAATTAGTCTTTGTGATGTTGAAAGTAAAGGTTGACATTCTCCCTATATTTTCTTCTCCCGTTTATCACTTTTCTATGGCAGTTGGGTAGTCCCATTGACACTCAAAAGATATATATTCATTTAGATATGTGGGGATTGGAGAAACAACTTTTTGAAAATAAAATTTGTCCTACCAGATTGAGATTTTTGGAGGGCAAGAACCATATCGTTCATGATTCAGTATCCTTTCGGTTCTCAGGGCTACACCAGCTGTACTGGCCATCATCTACTCCCCACTCCTGGGAACTATTTCCCCGTCCCCACTTAAACCCATCCACATGGCTATGTTAGGGACTGCCAAGCTGAGTTAGGACTCCATGCCAGGGCTGGCTACATTATTTGTGAAATTCAATGCAAAATTAAAATGCAAGATCACGTGTTCAAAAATTATTAAGAATTTCTAGATGACAGCAGCAGAGCATTATACTAAACATAAGACCCTTCTAAGCACAGGTCCCTGTGCATCCACACAGGTTGCATGCCCAGCTGTGCTGCCCTTCCCACCTCCTTCCTCCCACACCAACTATGGTTTATTGAGTCCTAGGGGAAGAAGAGAATATCAATTCAGGTTAAACCAGAGACCTTTCTGGTTGATTTGTTTGTACCAGAAAAGAAAAAAATAATTGTCCCAATTGGATAAAACTGGGGACCTATCAGCTGGCTTGCTTTCAGCCATGTGACAAAAGCAATTGATGGGCTGAACATCATTGTATCTCAGACATGTGCTGGCAAATTTTGTACGTGCCCAAATATCATCTACGGTACTAATAGTTTGCTAGTCTTTCTGCTGACCCGCAACTTACTGTCCACTAGCTTTGAGGCTCTGGAAGCTAGAACAGATAACCTCTTGAGGGTTTTCCAGTTCTGTAGTTCTCTGAGCCTCTGACCAGGTTCTACAAAACGAACCTAATCTATAGCCGTATATGTGTAAAAATGCACAAGAGTGCTTGATTATTCATTTTTCTTGGTTAATGTTCATGGAACAGTCATTTGTTTACATCTTCATAGTGTAGTGACCACTGAGATAAAAAACAAAATGAAACAATGAAGCAAAAATAACCTGTCTTTTTAAGGCTAATCATCAGTCAAGGCAATTCATTAGCATTCCAACTGCAAGGTGATTCTGAGTGCTTCCTTAGGGGAAAACCACTTGACGTCTAGGTAAAGAGGACCTCATTCCCCAGGGAACCTCCATCTTCACAGTTTCAGTCTCTTTCTCCTTTTCCCAATAGTACAACTCCCAACAATTTTCTCGAAGAGGATTTACAAACCACTGGTGAATGAGTAAAGATTGGCTCCTGGTATACCTCTTGATGGGCATTCTTTAGGGAGCTAGCTTTAAAGGGCAACTTTTGGGGCAGAACACAGTGAATTCTTATAGACTATCACCTGGTCTTTGGTATTTTCTGAGTTTTTCGTATCACCCGGTTAGACTCTTCAAGGGAAGAAAGAAGGATCAAGGTAAATCAAACACCTTAGATGAAATTCACATTTAACAAGTGATTACTTCCCAACTTGTACACAGAAACTTAGGAGGAAATTAGTTGGGTTTATTATATTATGTCAAGTATTTTATAATAGAATGTATACAGATGGAAATCTATTCTAGCCAGGTGTGGTGGCTCACACCTGTAATCTCAACACTTTGGGAGCTTGAGGCTGGTGGATCATTTGAGCTCAGAAGTTTGAGTCCAGCCTGAGCAACGTAGCGAAACCTCATCTCTACAAAAAATTTAAAAATTAGCTGGGTGTGGAGGCTGAGGTGGGAAGATCATTTGAGCCCAGGCTGCGGAGGTTGCAGTGAGCTAAGAACGCACCACTGCACTTCAGTATAAGAGACAGAGCAAGACCTTGTCTCAAAAAGCAAAACAAAACAAAAAGAAATCTATTCCAATGAGAAATGAATAATTCCTGAATATACACCTAAAATTCAGGGTCATAGATGCAGAGTACTTATTGCAGAACAACATTTAGGCAAATAATTGTTCCTGTGAAGGTTTTTTTTTTTTTTTTTTTTTTTTGACACGGAGTCTCGCTCTGTTGTGCAGGCTGGAGTGCAGTGGCACGATCTCGGCTCACTGCAACATTTGTCTCCCGAGTTCTAGCAAGTCTCTGCCTCAGCCTCCCGAGTAGCTGGGATTACAGGCACCTGCCACCAAGCCTGGCTAATTTTTTTAATTTTTAGTAGAGATGGGGGTTTCACCATTTTGGCCAGGCTGGTCTTGAACTCCTGACCTCATGAACCACCTGCCTCAGCCTCCCAAAGTGCTGGGATTACAGGCATGAGCCATGGTGCCCTGCCGATTTTGTTTTTAAAAATGTCACCTCTCTATCAATTTATAGATGAAGATGCTGGATCCCAGCATGGTGAAAATTTGTATTTTCCCAATGTGTATCTAGAGCTATCCAGACCTTTTTGTCTCTAATCCTGGCTAGTTTAATATCCAGAGTCCTGCTTTTGTGCACTGCCTGAGGTAAGAAATTTATATGTGTCATGATGACTTACTCTTACATTAATTTTTTTTTGTTTTTTCAGTTGAATACAATTTAGCCTTTTATCTCCTAAGTAAAAACAGAATAAAGCCAAGGTGAGAGGTGTTAAGACTGAAAGTGAGAGCAAGCCTGCAAAGACAGTCCCCAAGGGAAGGCTCTTCTACAAATGTCCAGAAGATTATGTCCATATGTCTTTCTGGAACTTTTGCCAAGATAGTCACAGGATCAAAATTACTTCTTCATGGCCATTATGCAGTGTCACATCTTACAGAGCCAAAGGAATAAATTCCAGACATGCAGAACACACGTCCCCTCAGCCTCTCTCAGGCAGGCTGTCAACTGCAGCATTAATGCACAAATCAAAAAAGGCAGCCAAAGCCTGAAGACTTTTCCTGCTAGCCTATTCCTTACTGTCTGCCTTCCTAATGCACTGGAGTGAAAAACCAACAGCCAGGCCCTTGTCCTTCACACTTTGTGCCCCCATGCAGACACTCCCAGGCTAGAAAAAAAAAGGAGGGGAGGGAAGAGAAAACAGAGAGGAAAGATTTTATTAAGCAACAAAGAAGAAAAAAACCATGTATTCAGGAACCCTTTAGTAGAGGACCTACCACAAAAATTTGACTTGTGCTCCTGTCCCTTAACTGGCAAGGAAAGCATACTCGAAATCCCACTCCTCCTTCTTCTCAGTGTCCCTCTCTTTATCTTCCTCCCTGATGGTCTGTCCTCCACAGCTGAATGCTTCTGAGTGTTTTCACTCTTAGAAACAGTATGATTCCTGTCAAACCACAGCTTAAACTTTACAGAAAAGCTCTTGAGCTTTCATTCCTGTAACCAAGATCAGTGATCTGTCATGTACAGTGGCATTTCCAACTGACTGCTAGAAATCTCCACCTTGATGCCCTGCCAGCACCTTGAAATTGACACGTCCACAATCTCAGCATCTTCCCTCCTGAAATGTTCCTTCCCTGGGCGTGTGTGTGTGTGTGTGTGTGTGTGTGTGTGTGTTAATGACAAATCACTCTCTCAGTCATTCCAACCTCAAACTTTGAAATTATATCTGATTACTCAGTGGTACTGTCACATGTGTTTGGTGATCACCAGGTTTCTTGAATGGGTGACTGAGTGGAGGTGATGCCACCATGGAAAAATAAGCAGATGTGTGGAAGATGATATTAATTGCAATTTTGGACATTGTGTTTGAGATGTCAGTGAGACAGCGAAGTAGATGTATGGAGGGCTAGTGGAAAAATACCATTCTGAAAGCCAAGAATTCTGGACTGAAAAGATAAGTTTGAGAGTCATCAGATCAGCTATAGCGAAGCCTATGAGAGTGATGGAGTAATGGAGTTACCCATGATGGGGGTGGAGGGTGTAATATGTTTTAAAAGTTTTTAGTATATATTTGTTTATTTTTTCCTAGGAGCAAACATGAAGTTCCTGAGTCAGAGGCAGAGTTATTGTAACCATGTGAGTTCCCCACATCCCATTCTCCCATTTTAGGGTAATGGAATGACCAGATGTCACCCTAAATGTGCAGAGAAATTTTTTCATCACTGAAGAGGAACTCTAAAATCATGAATCTGGAAACCAGTCACAAAGTTTTCTCTTATGTTCTCTGCTAGACAGCTTATAGTTTTATGTTTTACATTTTTGTCTATAATATACATGAGTTAATTTTTGTATGGTGTGAGGTATGGATCAAAGTTCTTTAAAAAAAAACCATAGATATTCAGTTGTTCAGCATCATTTGAAGAAAAAACTATCATGTCTCCACTGAACTGCCTTAGCACCATTGTAAAAAAAAAAATCAGTTGTTTGTGTATAGGTAGATCTATTTCTGGGCTCTCCATTTGGTTCCATTGATTTATGTGTCTGTCTTTACATCAGTACAATAGTGTGTTAACTATTATTGCTTTATTCTAAGACTTGATATTTGTTAGTGTTTGTTCTCTAACTGCATTGCTCATTTTCTAATTCATTTTGGATATCCCTTGCATTTCCATGTAAATTTTAGAATCAACTTGCTAATTTCTACCAAAAAAAATACTGCTGGGATTTTAATTGAGATTGCATTGAATCTATAGATTAATTGAGCGAGAGCTGATATTTTAACAATTTGAGTCTTGTTTAATTTATTGAGTTCTTTTCATTGAGTTCTCTAATTTCTCTCAGCAATATTTTGTAGTTTTGAGTATGTGTCTTACACAATTTTGTCAGATTTATCTCTAATTTTACAATTTTTGGTGCCATTATAAATGACATTGCTTTAAACTTTCAATTTCTAATTGTTTGTTATGAGTTCATAGAAATACAGTTGAATTTTTATATTGACACACATTCCACAACCTTGCTGAAAACACTTATTCACTCTTTAAGTTTTTGGTAGGTTCCATCAGATTTTCTGCGCAGACAATCATGTTGTCTTCAAATAAAATGAATTCTACTTATTCTGTAAAAGCTGAGATGCATTTTTCCTTGCTTTGTTGCACTGACTTGAACCTCCAGGACAAGGTTAAACAGAAATGGTGAGAATGCACATTCTTACTTTGTTCTTAATCTTAAGGGGAAGGTATGTTTTTGTATACTTACCTCTATAGTTGCAGTTCTTGCACTCCTTGCTTCGTTGTATAGATAGATAGATAGATAGATAGATAGATAGATAGATAGATAGATAGATAGATCGATCTCCATTTGTTATCGGTTGCTTTTTACCTAAAGAACTAACTTCCTTTAACATTTCCTGTATACGAATCTGCTGTTGAAGGATTATTGTAGCATTTGTATGTGTAAAATGTCTTTATTCTGCCTTCATTATTAAATGCTTTTGGTTTTGGTTGCATGTAGAATTCTAGGTTGACAGCTAGTTTGTCTTTACTTTTTTTAAAGTCATTGCTCCAATGTTTTCTTACTTTCACTGTTTCAGAACAGAAATCAGCTGTAGTCCTTATTATTGTTCTTCTGTACATAATGTCTTTTCTTGGCTGCCTGTAGGATTTTCTGTTTATCACTGGCTTTAAGCAATTTTATTTGATGCACCTTGTGCTTGAGATTTGTTTGGCTCTTATATCTATGGATTTATAGGTTTCTCCAAATATGGAAAATTTTCAGCGATTATTTTGTCAATGGCCTCCTCCTCCATCCTGTTCCCTCATGTTCTTCAGGGACTCCAATTTCTTATGTATTAGGCTTTTTAAAGTTATCCCATAGCTTAATGAGGCTTTTAAAATTTTTTAAATTTCTTTGCATTTTTATTTGAATAGTTTCTATTGCTATATCTTCAAGTCCACTAATCTTTTTTGTTCTGCAATGTTTCATCTGTCATGAGTACCATATAGTGTACTTTTCATCTCAGATATGCCTTTCACAATGTGAAGTCTGTGAAGGAAGAAGCACATTCATCACGTGGACATTCAGGATCCTAAATAAGTTTTCCAAAGTGGGTATTTGGGACTTCTCTTTGTGTATTTCCTGACCCTCCCTATTTTCAATATTAATTTTATCCATGTTATACACAGATAGTTTAATAAGTTAGATAAATTCTTAAGGTATATATGTTAGTTAGAATTAGTTTCATCTGTATTTAACAGAAACTCCAAATAACAGGGTCTTAAATATATAAAGCTTACTCATTCATAGTAAAAGCTGTTTCATGCCAGTCAGACCAGGGCTCGTTTGGCAGTTCCTGAAGTTATGAGAACCATAGGCTCCTTCTACCTCTCTGTTTCTCCATCCTTTGTTAAATAAGCTCCAGCCACTCATGTCTGCATTCCAGGCAGCAGGAAGATGAAAAGAGGGAAAGACAAAGTGGTGTGTCTATCTGATAACTTCTGCTTACATCTCACTGGCCAGAATAAAGTCCATTGCCACATCTAGCTGAAAGAGCAACTGAGAAGTATGACTTTTTTGTCAGAGCCTACTGCTGTTATGAGTAAAATTGAAGTTTGTTTCTGAGAACAAAGGAAAGAATGGTGGGCATCCTTCTTAAGAAGAACTCCTGAGCCATCTTCCATCTCACCCTAATGGGACTCCCTAGAGGCAACTGCTTTTAGGTCTTTTAACTGTTTTTCCTAGAATTTATTTCATATTCAGACAGCAACAACATTGTGCTGCTGATTCATTATTTCCTTATTTTAAATAGGATAAAATGAGGATTTTGCCTCTCTTGTACCCTTATTTCCATACCACTTCTACTTCCCTTCACCCATTTTTCCCAAATAATTGTCATAATTTTGTTTGCTCAATGTCTATATTGTTATGATCATGTTAATATTATTCAAAGCTGGGTCAGGTAGTATACTGTAATTACATATTCCTAAATTAAAAATTTTTCATTAAATTATTTTTTATTTTCTTAGTTTTATATGTCTCTACTTTATTCCTAAGCTTTTAATTTAAGTATAGATCGCTTCTCAGTACAGTCAAATTTGTCTACCAATTTCATCTTTGTTTGAGGGACATGCTTCTAGATCCCTTTGTTTCCTTTAGTTCTGACCTGGAATATGTGTTCTCTGGTCTTGATATGCAGCTGTCTTCCTGAGCAATCCCATCATCACCAACCTGGGGACCCCCTTCACTCCTTGCATGTGTTGGGTCTCCTATTTGCTTGTTCCCATCTTATGTCTTCGTTCTTTGTTTGTTCTCTTGTTTGGGTAAGGCACATTCTCTAGTATCTTCCAGAGAAAGGACACATTGAAAGTAACTATTTTTGAAATGTATATCTGAAAACTTCTTAATTCTAGCCTCATATGTGATTGATAGTTTGGATGGTTTTAGAATTCTAGATTGGAAATAATTTTCTCCAGACTTAAAAACAGAATTTTTTCTCCTGGATGTTTTAAGCCATAGAATTTTTCTTCAATAGTGTTCCTTTTGAAAAGTGCAATGTCATTCTGCTTCCAGTCCTTTTATATTACCTGTTTTTTTTCCTCTTGGGATGTTTTTAGAATCTTGTTTTTATTTCTAGTGTTCTCAAATTTCCTAACAATGTCAATTTATGTGGGTTTTGTTTTCATGTACTAAGCTGGACATTTTATTGACCAACTTAATCTAAAAATGTATAACTTTCAGTTCTGGAAACAAATTTTGAATTATTTCCTTGGTAGTTTCTTCCTGTACGTTCTCTTTCCAGAGCTCCTGCTGTTTGGATGTTGAGCCTCCTAGACTATCTTTTCTGTCAATATCTTTGATACTGTGGCTTTATCTTTGTTTTATGCATTTCTGTCATTTTCATACAATTTCAAGAAGTAGTGGTAAATGCATATGCCCAGTCCTCTGCATTTAACTGGAATCCTCTGATCTCTTTTCAGATTCTTTATTTCTGGTAAGTAAACTATTGTAAAAATCCATATGGCATGTCTGAGATGAACACCAGGTTTTTTTCCACTGGTCTGATTCTCCCACTTATCAAACTCTTCTTTAGGATATTTATACAAAGTAGAAACAAAGGCAAGTAAATGAAAATAGAGCAGGACCAGGTGCAAGCCCCGTGGGCATATTATCCACCCTCTCTGTTGCTAGGTTTACTCATTTCAGAAATGAAGGCCAATAATACCCACCTTTTATAGCTCAGGCTTGTTGTGATGAACAAATGAGGGCATGTAAATGAAGATTTTTGGAAAGATATGTAGTGGCATATAAATGTGAAAGATTATAATTTTCCAAAAGGAACATAGAACCTTCTGATGAATGCTCAATTAGAACATGCTGTTGCTGTTTTCAGCCAAGGGAAAAAATAAGGCAAGAATCAGGTAAGATAGTAGCAAGATCAGTGGAAAGGATGATCACAGAGGAAGCTCTGGGCAGTGGATGGAGTGGAGGCCTTTCAGACAGACAGACAGACAGACAGACAGACAGACAAGATTCACACCCTGATTCCAGGACTTACTAGACCGTCCGTAAAGTATCCTTTTCTGCAAAATGAAGAGAATAAAACTTACCTTGTAGTGTTGCTTTAAGGAACAGACTTACAGAGACAAAAATAAATGTAAAGCTCGTGGTACATAAATGGCATCCAATAAATACTAGCAACTATCAGTGGTTAGGTTCACTGGCTCTGGAGCCAAGCTGCCTGGGTTCTGTCCCATTCTGCCATTTATGGGTCATGTGATTTGGGGACAAATGATTCAACCTCCCTGTATCTTTCTTCATCTGTAAGATGGGACAGTAACATTAGCCACCTTACTGAGTGGTTGTGAATATATGTTAGTTAATGGAAAATATCTAGAATGGAGCCCTGACACATAAAAATCACTGCTTAATAAAAATTAGCTATTACGATTGTTGTCAGCTTATAAGCAAGGCAAGTATTTCAACCATGCATTGAATCATCATTCAGAGTCCAAATAAAGTTGCAATCTAATTTGCGTGCTGTCTTAGTCTGTTTGGGCTGCTACAGCAAAATACCTTAGACTGGGTAATTTATAAATGAAGATTTATTGCTGACAGTTCTGGAGGCTTGGAAATCTAAGATCAAGGCACCAGAAGATTCAGTGTCTGGTGAGGATTCATTCCTCATAGATGATGCGTTCTGTGTGTCCTCACATGGTAGAGGGGATGAACAAGCTCCTTTGGGACCCTTTTATAAAGGCACTAATCCCATCATGAGGGTGGAACTCTCATGACCTAATCACCTCCCAAAGGCCCCACCTATTAATACCATCACCTTTGGGGTTAGGTTTCAACACATGGATTTGGGGGGGATGCAGTAATTCACACCAGCCTGTGCTATGGTACATTTGCACAGAATAAAAAAATAGAAGTTACTTGTCCTAACGCCAGGTGGCTCATTATCTAAAGGGCCTCCAGTTCTGTGTTCCTGGTCCCATAGGTCCTTAAACCAGGTCTAGGGTGAGAGCATTTGAGAATGTTCTGATGTCAAGGCTCTGAGCCAATTCCTGATTCTGATTCTGATTCTGATTCTGAAAAGGCCCTAAATTGAAAAAAAAAAAACAAAAAAACAATAAAGGGAAGAAATATGAACTATCTCCAAATCAGTCTTCCAGATTTCATGGGCATCACCAAGTAGCTTCAGACACAATGGCCTTTCCATTGTTGCAAAAACTGAGCTCTTACAGAACTTATTGAATTTTGCCTTCCTGACTTCTGATGTCCAAATATCAGCTGGCTACCCCACCCAGTGACTATAAAGATGGACTATCAAGATCTCCTAAGCCAGGGGTCCCAACCTCCAAGCCAGAGACTGGTACCAGTCTATGGCCCATTAGGAACCTGGCTTTACAACAGGAGGCTAGTGAACATTACTGCCTGAGCTCCGCCTCCTGTCAGATAAGCTGTGGCATTAGGTTCTCAGGAACATGAACCCTATTGTAAACTGCGCATGCAAGGTATCTAGGTTGCACACTTCTTATGAGACTCTACTGGCTGATGATCTGAGGTGGAACAGTTTCCTTCTGAAAGCATCCCCCTGACAAATCTCCAGCCCAGTCCGTGTAAAATTTGTCTTCCACGAAATGGGTCCCTGGTGCCAAAAAGGTTGGGGATTGCTGTCCTAAGCTTCACCAGACTGCAGAGCTACTGAGTGCCTCCACACTGGGCTGTGAGCTCCACAGTCTGGCATGGTTCCAAATTTTAGGGATGGCAGCATTGCCCGAGCACTCAATGACTATTTTGTTGAATGAACAACTAACTAATCAGTGGGGGAGGAGGTAATATACTAAGTATGTCTGTGTCCCTAGCATATCATATATCTGCTATATCAAGGCAATATCTATCTTATGGTTTTGAAGGTAATATGAAGTGTTTGCTCCTCTGCCCTAAGCTCATGGCACTTGCACTGTAGTGAGTGTAGCATTTGTGCCTCCTTTAAGAAACTGTGAACCCCTCAAAGGCAGGGGTCTTATTTTTGTTATCTGTGTAATTTGAGGAATGGATAAATGAATGAATTTATCATTAAACAAATATTTGTTGAGCTCCAAGCAACAGTGCTCAAGACAGATGAGGTCTGTGAGCGCATGGAGCTTACATTTTAGAAACAGAGACAAGCCATAAATGAATAAATGAACAAGGTAATTTCAGACAGTGAGTGCAAAAGAAAAAACTCTCATAAATTCTATCAATGCAAACTTCTTGGCATTTTCTTATAAGGAAAACATACTACATAATTTGACCCTGAGTGCCTTCTCTATGCAACAGATCTCTACAGAGGAATGAAGGATAGACTACAAGGATTTATCTAAATTACTAAACTGTAATGATCTAGTTCTCCAAAATGAGACAAGCAGCAGCATTGCTTAAGTGTTTTAACTTGGCCTGCAATTTGCTAATCAGAGGCTGGAGGTGACATGCCATAAAACTGCACAGGCTTTTAACTGATAGGTTTACAGAAGGTTCACAGCAAATCTGTGCCCTGTAATTGAAAGTTTAAAGGCGCAGATCTCAGCTCATTTGAATAAAAAAGCTCAGTACTCCTTCTAGCTTTTCATTCTTCTAAAAATAGAAGGAAAACATATGTCAGAAGCAATCTGATATAGGTCCATAACCCACAGTGAAGAAAAAAATTGAGAGCTATTGACAACCAAGTCTTTACTTTAGGTAGCCATAGCACTTTTCACATGTAGGTGTGAGTAAGAAAAATTCTTTCTTAAACATATAATGAACAAATTTTGGAGATACTGTTCTACATTGTCTATATGATAAAAAGAGAAACAAACTTAATTAGCCTAGACCAAATTTCACCCTGATGCATATAGATGACTCCCACTGTGATTATTATACAAAAGCCAAGGTGGTATTTGGATCTCAGAATAATGTGTGTTTTTCCAAAGGCAGAAGTTGATCTTTAACACCTATGTATGTAATAATCTCCACCTATGGCTTTCACAAAAACTTACGTTTTAGGGGTTCCTCTGATGGTGGTGGGAACTTCTGGTCCTCTGTGATTAGTTAGTAGTCTGTTGATGGCCAGGAAATGGGACAAATAGCAATTTCCACCATGAAACAGACACATCGTTAACCGGAGTCTACCCCACCAGCGCTTCCCTCCACTAGCATTGCTTGGTTTCTTTCTGATCCCTGTTCTATAGATGCCTGAGCCAAGGAAGGGGTGCAGAAGAAAAATAAGAAGGGCTACTACCTTTCCTCCATAGCCATATTCCTCATGTTTAAAATTCAGCTTCAAAATCCTGGAATGAAAAGCATTGACATTTGGGGAAAGGGGTGTTACCTTTAAGTTTGTATTTAGTCAAATCCCATAAAATAGCAAAAATAAATTACGTATTTATTCTAGGCATCCATAAAAATCATGTAAGAATAAATTATTCCAGAGTGACTTTTCCTCAGAAAGAGCTGGTATACAGTTTCTATCCCTGCCCCTAATGTTTCACTTCAATTTACATTCATGTTACCAGAACACAGCAATCCAAGCAAGACACTGCCCAAGAACTTTAGTTATTATTTCCTTATGTACATACACATGCATTTATGAAGCTGAAGGAAGCACACGCATGCAAATAGACACATAAACACATGATGCTCCATCTCATACAGTACATTCATGTGTGACATGCTAATTTCTAGTAGGTGCCCAGTCAATTGGTTTCACAGCTTAGCTATTCATCGTCAGACAGAGTGTCTGTGTTTCCCCCATGCACTTCTAGTTTGCAGAATAGTGCCAGACTGGCATCTTGTCTTGTGACTTGATAACAGATTCCATTAATAGTGTATCCACTGGGACTAACATCCAGTCCCTCTCAGCAGGAAGAAATCTGGCAATTAGTGCCAGCCCGAAAGACTGCAAGGACTGGGGGCCTTGTATGCCAGGTCATGCATAGGAGGCTGACTGTGAATTCACACCCTCTATATGCACAAGGAATTGCAAAATGGGAGATTTGAAAAGCAAAAAAAGAAAAATGCGGGAGGATACTGGGTAAGAACTTTCCTGATGTCTGCCATCCCCACTTTGTGAAATTGGGGATGAGACAAAATCGTCATTGTTTCACTAGGTTGGGACCATGCCTAGCTCTGAGCTCCATTTATCCCTCAGCACATTGCTAGTTCTCAATGATTATCATTATCATTATTAATGATGGTAATAATTGACAACATGATAAACAACTTGAAAAGAGCTAGTTTCCTGAAGAAAAAAAATAAGTCACTGTAATAATAGCTCTTTTACACAGGAACAAATAGAACATTTGTGTCTTGGTATTTTAAATTATGTCTTTGTTTGCTGAGGCTGGAGGGCACAGGGTGCAATTTTAAACTGAAATAAATGAACAAATGAATTAGCATTAGGAAAAAGGGTACATGTTAATCAAAACCAGCCATTTGGACTTGGGGTCCTTAATTACATGTAGATTTTCGGTCTTGCTTCTTTCTTTCTACTCACACTTGTTCCTGGATTTGCAGAGCTGGCCTTACCCTTAAGAGGAAGAAAATGTTGCTTTATTGGGTGCTGAGGTTTTAGACCATGGCACATAACATAGTTCTTCCGAAGGAAATTCCTTTAACAGAGGTAAAGCATAAAATGCCAATATGCTAAAAGCAAGGACCAAGAAGGACCTGGAGCTCCCGACCCAGCCAGCTTCTCTCTCTGACTTTATTCAGTCACCAGCAGGAAGGAAGACAGATGCGGATCATCAGTCTCTGAAAATTTGAGAGTTAATTAATTTTTTTCCCAGAAGACTTAACAAAGACACTGCTCAATAGTCTTATTGAGAAAAATGTGTGTGTTTCCTTCTACCTCTATCTTAAAACATTTTCCTGCACTTACCTGCAAGAAGAACATATTTAGCTTGGTCAATACTTTCAATTAAACTGGAGCTAGAAAAAAACTAACATTTCTTGCAATGTAAAACAATTGCTCCAGCTTTTCCACCCCAGTCTTTCTGTAATTTATGATGACATCTAATATTGGAATTAGAACTCAACTATGATCTATGAAACTTGACTGTATTTCTTTTTGAAGTGGTTTGGCATGAATGTATTTGTGCAACTGAACTCATTTGTTTTAAAAGATGGCAGAGTAGACTTTACCTAGGAAATCCCTTAGAGTTCTAAATACACATTCTCTGGGGTATGCATGTATTTTCAGGGTCTGGTAAGAAAGATAGGAATCCATTTTGACTAAGAAAGCCTTTCTTGAAATATCAGCTTGGTAGATAAAGTGTCAACTTGGTGGAAGTAATAATAATAAAGATGATAATATCTCCTTGGAAAACAGATTGAGCAACATTTCATCCCCTTTTTTTTTCCTGCAGAACACCAGGGGCCAGCTGTACTGAATCTTCAGATCATGAATTTACATTGCTCCCTGATGCCTCATTTGGTTGGGCATCTTTAAGTCCCTAAAAGCAACTCACACATGCTTGGAGAACCATTGTCCCAGCCTCTGTTTCAAGCTTTATCATTGATTCCTCATCACCTTTAACTATACAATCGGAAAACTTCTTGTCCTGCTCTTAAGGCTGAGTTCCATCTTGGTGACCTAGTTTGTTTCCTCTCGGAGCCACTATGCACAGTTTCTGAATGTGGAGAAGTCTTTTCTAGATCTCCTGCATGTTCTGGCTGAGCTAACAACCCACGTGCAGCTACATCCTCCAACCGCTTCTGCACCTGTGAAGACAGAGAGCATCCCACTTTCTGTGGGAAGGCCTTTGCTTCCTCTGTGTTCTTCCCTGTCTTAGGTAAATACCCTAATGAAGTGTTCCTTGCAGAGTATTGCTGTTCATTTCTTCAAGGTACCATAAAAAACTGCCACAAACTGGGTTGCCTTACACAAGAGAAACTTATTATTGTACAGTTCTGGAGGCCAGAAGTCCAACATCAAGGCATCAGCACAGTTGGTTCCTGCTGGAGTGTCCCAGGAAGAACTTATTTCTTGTCTCTCCTGGCTTCTGCTGTTTGCTGGCAAGCCTTGACATTCCTTGGCCTGTGGCAGCTTAACTCCCACCTTTGCCTACTTCTTCACATTAGAGCCTCCCATTCGTGTCTGTGTCTCTTATCCTCTTCTTATAAGGACACCAGTCATGTTGGATTAGGGCCTCACCCTAATCTGGTGTGACTTCATCTTAATTGATTACATCTGCCAGGACCCTATTTCCTGATATCACCAACAATGAGAGGTTTGTTGGTGATATCAGTTTGCAAGCTAGGAAGAGAAGTCTCCAGTGTGGACCAAAGGTGCTCTCTTTTTGAAGAGGGGAAGGGAAACAGGTTGGGTTAAGTGCCCCACAGAGTCTGTATTAGACAATAGAGTCATACATATTCAGCAGGTTCGGGAGGGAAGCTATGTTTATTTATGAGGGGAGCTGAGCACATGTGTGATGGGTAAATGCATATGTGACATACATCCCATGTTCACTTTAGGAAGGGGTTTTAGATTAAAATGAGGTAAAATTTGACTCCATGTCAAAAGGTGAACTATAGGATGCAATGACAGTTTGTGCACAGCCTCGATAAGCTGACTGAAACTGGTGTAAGGTCAGCAATTGCTTATCAGAAGAGAATGTTTTTAAGGCTGGACCTGCTGTACAATCAGAGTTGTAGTGGTCTGGGTTATAAACCAGAGCCCATAGTGAGGGACTGTGTTAAGGGAAGAAACTTCTCTTCCCAGGTCCACGAGGGGCATGGTTTCAAAGGCAGGAGCTTCCCAGTGCCATGCCTCCATCCACGCCCCATCTGGGAACATAAAGATCTTTGAACATAAAGTTCTTTGTCTAACTTTCCTGCTGGCGGGCTAGGGGGAAAATCCAGGTGAGCTGCTTTGTTCCAAAAGCTCTGGGAGGAGGGGGCTCTGTTGCAGACCAAGCAGCCAATCCGGTATCAGAGTCAAAGATCAATCACTCCAGAGGAAGTTTGAAAGAACTCCTCTCATTAGACGAGAACATGAATGGGGAAGGAATAACTCCAGGGTTAAAATCCTATGCTCCTTACCTATACAGATTCCTTCCTTGGATTCCCTCCCATGGCAGCATGGGAGCTCTCTTTCTCTCTCTCTCTCTCTCTCTTTTTCTCTCTCCCTCTGCCTAATAAATCACTCTCTCCTAAACTCCTTGGGTCCACGATATTTATTCCAATGGTAAGCTCACCATGCCTCTGGGGCCCCTTTCCCCATTCTTGGGGTAAGAGAGGCCAAGTACCTGGAATCCAAACAGGGAGGGAGCTGAGTACATGCTCCACCCAGTTACAATAGCTCCTGTCGTTAGGGAGTTTAGCCGTAGAAATTTAGAAATTAGTCCTTCAAGCCTGGACCTGAACGCTTGACACATGGGAAACTTTGCTTCCTTAATCTTTGGGTCCATCTTGATAAATGGACATCTACTTTGGTCTCTCAGCTCACATTCCATGTAGGTCACATTTACAGGTATTGAGGGTTAGAATTTAAATATATAATTTTGGGGGACACAATTCAATCCATAACAGTATTATCGTCTTTGTTTACACTGTTTGTTTTTCCTTCCCTCATCCCCCCATTGTTAACTTTTTTACTTTATTTTGTAATAGGCTGATGGGTTCATCTTTCCCACTGCCCAGAAAAGCAAATGCACCAAGAACAGCAAGTCTTGCAGCAAAGAAACAGTTTAATTATCACAGGGCCAGCCAAGCAGAAGAACAGAAGACATTGCTCAAATCTGCCCCACTGAGAGCTTAGAGACCAGGGTTTATAAGGTTAATTTGGCAGACAGGGAGCTTTGGAATGGGTGCTATTATTTTGTTGGGGATGAAATCATAACAGTGTCCAAACTGTCTATGCCTATTGAGTTAGTTGCTGGGTGATAGTCACCAGTTAAATCCATTTTTTGGTATGTGTCACCTGGGTCTGGTGGAGTCAGTCAGGATATAAAAGTCTGAAAATTATGTCAGAGACTTATCTTGGGTTTTGACAATAGTGATGTTATCTATAGGAGCCAATTGGGGAAGTCACAAATCTTGTGACCTAGGCTCCATGATTCCTGAGCACTAAGGGATTTCAGAAAGGCAAGCAAGGGAACAATGGCTAGTTATTGTTTATGCTTGTGTCTTCCAGAATGTAGTGCCCTTCCTCAGTCATTATCTTGTGGCCTTTCATTAGTCTTACAAAGGTGGTTTTGGTCCTTGAGCAAGGAGGGAGTTAGTTTCTGGAAAGGACTGAAATCATCTTTATTTTAAAGTTAACAAAAGCAGTTAGCTTGTAAGATTAGAAGCAAAGTGGAGTCAACTATGTCAGATTTCTCTCACTGTCATAATTTTTGCAAAGGCAGTTTCAGTTCTGAGCACTTTGGGACAGTTCTCTATCGACTATATGTATCTCAGCATCTGGTACATTATAGTGTTCAATAAATAATGACTGATGAAAGAATAAGCAAACTATGCCTATTCATAATCACTGAGTTGGGGTTTGGGGGAATGTTGATGTCTGATAGAAAGAAACACCTTAGAGACAGGGGGATCTTGCTTGGGTGTCTAGAGTCCATTATCCTTTGGAATGTTAACTACAATGGGCACAGACACTACAATGCACTTCATAAAACTAGTTCCAGTATTTCAACACACCTGATAGAAATGGCATGTGTATACAGAGAAAGACTGCACAGGCGAACCAAAATGTCAAGTTTCCTTGCACTTAACTTACAGTTTATATGAATGGGAATTGAGAGTGCCTCAGAAAAGCAAAAGCTCAGAGTCTTCTCTATTTGATGGCATCACAAGGTCAATTTGAAGAGGCCAAGCCAGACACTGGGTGGTCTCTTACACAGTGCTAAGTAGAGGGTGGACTGAGCAGAGGGTGAGTGCTCACATTTGCCCTTGGTGTTGCTCTCACTCTCTTCACTTATTTACAGCTAATAGTCTTCTCTGGTCCAAAGCTGGTCCACTGACTCTCCTTTTCTCTTCTTCCTCCTCACTCCCTGACTCTTCCCCAGGCTTTTGTTTGTTTTTATCATCCCCTGCATTACATCTTCTTAAGGAGCAACAAGCCTTATTGCCTTACCTGTCTTGAGGGGAAGGGATAGCTTCTTACTACAGAAGAGCTCCAGCATAGACCCTTAATAAAACGGATATTAGAGGAATTTGGAAAATCCTCTCAATACAGATGCCTGGCTTGTAAAGCTATTGTTTGGCTGCATAATCCTATTTTGCATGTTAGGAGTGAATACCATCCTCCTCCTTTTTCTTTGTTACTTCTCCAATAAATTCTAATCTTCCCCTAGGCAGATGGATACCTTGGGCCTACTAGTACAAAAACCAACAAAAACGCTGATTAAGTAATTCTCAAAATATCTTTTCTAACATACTGAAGTAGTTAGAAGTTACTCAGTGACAAGTGCCAAAGAAGAAATAAACTGAGTGAGACAGCATGAGTAACTTGGTGGGGAATTTACAGAGGACTTTCCAGCCCATTGAACAGCCTTGAAGGGGGAAGAACTTAGCAGGAGGGCCCCAAAGAGACCCTAGTATTCTCTTCATTAAGGCATGGACCACATTTTACCACTGCCTTGACCAGTCAACCACTCAATTTCACTCTGCAGTTCCTCCCATTTACTTCAGACTGTCAGGCATCTTCGAAGTGATTTAAGTCTTGGATAAGGCTTGTGACACTCTCAGAGACCCTTATCTAGTGAGTTTTATAATGTTCTAAAAACCTGGTATTTTTCATGTTGGAACCTGGAGGAGGGAAGAGGAATAACTAGAATCTTATTTTAATGCCATTGTTGGGACTCAGAACACAATATCCCCAGGTATGGCACCTTGGCATGCTGAGTATTTTTGAGCTGAAGAAGACAGGAGAGCTTCAGAAACAAGAAGGTCCTTCTGATCTTCTGCCTTCCTATCTCTCACCCTGCTTTCTTCTCATAAGCAGGTAATATAAACTAGAATTCCTCTCCCCAAAGCAAGCTGTAAGACCTAGAACAAGCCAGGCACAGTGGCTTATTCCTGTAGTCCCAGCACTTTGGAAGGCCAAGGTGGGCAGATCACAATGTCAGATCGAGACCAGCCTGGCCAATATGGTGAAACCCTGTCTCTACTAAAAAAAATACAAAAATTAGCCAGGCATGGTGGTATGTGCCTGTAATCTCAGCTACTCTGGAGGCTGAGGCAGGAGAATCTCTTGAACCCAGGAGGTAGAGGTTGGCAGTGAGCCAAGATCATGCCACTGCACTCCAACCTGGGCAACAGAGCAAGACTCTGTCTCAAACCAAACCAAACCAAACCAAACAAAAAAGACCTAGGACATTCTCCTCCCACCTCCTCCTCCTCAACGGCCTTTAGTTAACAAGTGTCCTGCCCCACACCTGGGGTTGAGGGGAAGGTATGTCTTACAGAGACACAGCAAACAATCTGAACACACAGGGCTTTCTGTGTTCCCCTGAGTTGATTACTATTAGGTCATACTTGCATTTTGTCCAATCATGTTTCCACAACTATTCACTTCTTTCACCAGATGTAGCATAAAAATACACATTTTCCTTAGGTCTTTGGGTCTTTATTTCTGAAGGCTTCTGTGTCACATAAAACTTTGGTTAAATAAATTTGTTATGCTTTTCCCTTGTCAACCTGTCTTTCATTACAGTGTTGTCAGCCATGCCCCTTCTGATGGGTGAGGAAAAGGTATTACTTTTCTCTCCCATACCATGACAGTGGTTGTCAACCTTGGCTATACATTAGAATCACTTGGGGCATTTTAAAGGCATACATACATGTCAGTTAGTAAGAGTCTATTATTAAGTCCTACTATCTGGCAAAGCACTGATCAGGTGTTGAATTCTGGAAGGATTCCTTTTGGATTTCTGTAATCAAATTGAGTCCATGCTAATTCTGTTCCTGGTGTTGGCACTGGCCTGCGTTTGAGAGACATTCTTCAGCCTGTGGTCCTCCTCATCCTTTCGTCTCAGCCCTTGGCATCACAGATTTGACTTTAGCCTGAGGCTGTGCTGCACCCTCAGATAGTTTGGGATAACTGAGTTACCATAAAACCTGCAATGTCATCTCACCCAGCGTCATGATGTCTGAGTGAGCACTAATGCATTGCCCAAGATCATATCATGGATAATGCCTTCTTATTACAGCAGAAAGATGGGAGGTTGAGGATGAGGGCTCAAGGGAGGGCACATCTCTTTACAAGAGATTAGCACTATCTAACAAAGACATCTGCTGTCTCCATGGTATTTGGTAACCTAATGCTTATAGTTTCATTTTGCCCATGGCTGATAGAATTAAGCATAAGATCATTAATCTTATTTCTTGAAATTCGACAGCCTCCCTTTATTCAGATTCCTCAAAATGAGTAGACCAGATGCACTCGGGTTCACTTGGGTGGCATGGCCCATGAGAGTTTCAATTCAGGACAACTGGGATTTCAGATTCCTTATTATGAGTCGGTGAGAAGGAGTCCAACGGGAGCCAAGGAAAGGCACCTAGCAGAAGGCTCCAGGAGAAAAAGGATGTGTGGACTTTCTGAAGTATTGGCTTATTCATTTATTGTTTTCTTCCTCTGTTTCTTGGTTCAAAAAAAACATTTATTGGACACCATTGAGTTGGATAGGGTCTGTGGGTGCTTGTCTCACAGTAGGAGCACCTCCAATATTTATGAAATGAGTAAACAAGATAATGATTTCTAGAAGGAGCTCATCATTAATTGCCTCAACTTATTTCTTATTTCCTAGACATTCTTGTTTGGTCACTTCTGTAATAAACATTGACCAAATTCTCCTGCTTACTGGTCTCTGCAGCTGCCTTTCTTCCTATTTGCTGGAATGGACATTATTTCTGTCTCATTTCTATATTATCTCCACATTAGCCTCTGACTTGTCAATCATAAAATTCACATTTATAAATCCATTTTTATCACTTTTTATCTACTAGGAAAAATTCGGGTCAACTTTAATGTTGTTTACAAAAAAATTATACTCTACTATTTTTTAATCCTATTTTCTATGCTTTTTGCCTAGTTTCTGTCCTTTCTCCATTTCAGAATGAGGGAGCTGAAAAAAAAACACAGAAAAGAATAAGAACTAGTGAAGAACTTTATTTTACAGAAGAATTGAGATGGAGATATCCTGATTTAGTAAGGGCGTTTTTTCCTTTCATTAATTCTAATTCATGCTCTGATTTAGCTGAGATGATAAAGCAAACTGAAGCCAAGCCTGTTACTGTTCGGGTCTCCGGCAGCTTCTTGGCCGGTCTACTTTCTCCTGGATGCCTCGCCGAGGGGCTGGCACACAGTAGGCCCTTGGTACATGTTTATTTAATTACTTGAAGGGAAACAGAGAGGCTTTTAAATCTCAAATTAGTTAAATAAAAAGATTGAAATGGAAATGGGGGAAAAGATTGAAATGGAAATGAGGCTTCAGGGTTCTCGGTGGATCTTGTTTCTCATTCCTGCCTTTTCTCCATTAGCACTGAGAATTGAAAATTGACTGCATTGAATCTCAAATCTGTTAATTGATAAGCCATTTACTTTCCCCAAAAACAGAATCAGTGGTGTTTTTTGATTACTTGACTACTTATCAAACTGATTTATTCAATTTTCAAATTTTTGACTCATTTTTATCTTGCAAGTTTGCTCTTGACTTCTGAATGGTTCAAGTAAATTATCCCTCTAAAACTACAGCAAAGTTGGTAGTAAAGCTTAATGTAACCAAAATAATCTCAATTTATGGAACCCATTTTCCAGTGATGCACGCTTTATGCAATGAAAACAACTGTTCCGGGCTGTAGTTTAAAATCTGCCTTCTTCCCAAGGCAATGGCAGAGGCACCTACATTATTGTCTCAAGCAATTTCCCTCAATGAATTGTCCTTTAAACAACTTCGATTACATGCATTAGTTGGCAGTTCTGTTTCATCAGCTTCTCCATTTCTCACAGTTCTCCTGTTCTCACACATCAAATGGGCATGATTAATCTGAGATTTCCTTCTTTCCTAAAGTTTCCCAACCATTTCCCCCTAGAAGGTTTCCAAGAGCTGCTCAGATTTCTCTCTGAAGATGAGTCTTTCTCTTCTAGATTTCCATTTTTTTCTTTTCTAGATTAGAGATTTGTTGATGTATTTCCTTGGCGGTCAGAATTTGTTACCCAGTGAAAATGTCAACACCTGCGAGTTTCTTCCTAGCTCTGGCAACATTTCCTGAGAACAAGTGGTTGATTCCCATGCTTATAGACTATTATTGTTAATGGAAGTACCCTTGACCCTGACCTGTTCTGTAAAAATAAAATTTTGTTCTATTTTCTCTAATATTTGTATTGGGTCTTGAGCCCAATTATATTTCTTTAGAAAGCTGTGTTTTCTAGTTTTTTTCTTTGATTGTGCATTATCTTTAGCATGAAAACTAACATAACAAAGGATACTCAATTGGCTAAGAGACTGCAGCTCATGATTGTGGATTTTTAACCATACAATCAATGAGTTTAGTTCAGGTTGCATGTCCCAGTGTAATATATGAACTCTGTTGCTTAGAAGCCTGGGATTCACCTGTCGGAATAGCTGAAAGTGAGGAAGGGAATGAAGCAAACAATCAGAGGTAGAGATGGAAGAGCCATAGCCGGATGCCAATTGCCTAAAATAAGAAATCTGTTACAGATTTGACGTATGTGTGACTTTTTCTATTAGCAATCATTGAGCTGCATCTTAGACCGGATTTTTTGTAAACATCCCAATGAAGTTTGAGAGCCCCTCTTTTTCCTCCCTTTCCACAACCCAGGAAAGGGGAAGAAAACAATTTAATACAATAGGTTTTCTTCATCTCCTGCTGATGCAGATGCCTTCGTTTCTCTGCCTCCACCTGTCAAAATGGTGAAAACTTTGTATATGATTGAAAATGAATGTCTATGTTGACTATGAACAAAAGAAAATAAGCAGGCACCTTTCTATCTAAAATTTCAATGAGAACATTGGTCTCAGACACCTACAGCTACCCTGGCAGACCCTGGCTAGTCCTAACCTCTCCACCTCCCAGATGGGAATCTCAGCCAAGTGCTCCAGTTGGCCTGAATTTAATGTGAGGCAGCTCAGAGAGAAGACAAGTGAGTGCGCTGCACAGGCACACCATTTTTTGTTGTTCTTCCAAAAGTGAAATTTCTTTCAAGGAGGCCAAACTGCTCCTCCTCAAACCACTGCAATCCACTAAAATTTTTCCATAGAGTGTATGGGAATATGCCGTAGTTAAAAGACAATGTCACAAGCCAATGGATATCAAACATTGGGGCTGACTGAATAGCTATTATCCAAATCTAGATCCCAACGAGTGACTTTATAGTGCTCCTCTTCTCAGATTTAACCTGCTCCTTTTTCCCCACCCTCTTAGTGCCACAGGCCTTTAATGGATTCTCAATACCTTTTAATACCAATTCAACAACCTAGTGTCTCCAAGAGAAATGTACACATTTATTTATCTGAAAGTGGCCTTTGCATAGGGAAATAGTCTCTTTGATTTAGTTGTAAGGATGACTCACTTTGCAGAAAGCTAGAGGCACCCTTAGGTGAGAAGGGGTAATAAGTAGGGCATCTTGGGGGAGATCCTTTGCAGGCCAGGATGGCCCCACTGCTGGGCAGACTTGAGGTTCTGAGGGGACTTGAGGTCGGGTAAACAAGAATACAGTGCTTACTGCAGCTAGTCAGAAGGGCCAGTGAATTTGAGTATTTCAGATGAGATTCTGCCTTCATGACACTGCATCTTTGTAGGGAGAGACATTCTACAGTTTTTCTTTTAATGAAGATTCTAAAGTGATTTATGATAATTCTGAGATACTCATCTGAAATGGTGTTCTCCGCAGATTAATGATGATGGGAAAAAGTAGTGTGCCCACATCTGTTGAGAATTAAATGCTGCTGGAAAATGTTTGTCATAAATTGTTAATGAGGAATTCACAGAATTGTTCATTCAAATACCCCCAACCCCTTCTATGAACAAAAATAAGCCGACAAAGCACACATGTTGAATTGAGAAAAGATCAGAAGGAAATATGTTCAAATATTCACAGTGCTAATCTAAAAGGATGGGATCCTATTTTCTTTTTTGTACCAGTATGTATTCTAAATTTTCTACAAAGCATGTACAATAAAGTTATTAAAAATTAAACACCATAGTTTGGCTTTTAACACCGCACCTGGTTTTGAGGTCATCCAACAAAACAAAACAGAAATTTCCCAGAACTCTGGAAAGTTAAATGGGGCTCAGACGCATGGAGTCAGGTGGGATGTGATGGCAGGCCAGGCACACGCCTCACCCCTTCCCAGGTGCCCCACTGTGTAGATGGCCATGACAGCAAGCTGCGGCTCAGATAACAAACCAAAGAGAGAGAGAGAGAGGCTTTTATTTGAATTGTCAGCCTTAGCCTTGAGATACAGTGCAAGTGGTTTTAACAGCCAAATCACATCTTTGCGAACAATGTCACAAAGATAGAAAAGGAGCATTATATTTTTTATCTCAAAGATGTCCTGAATAAAGTACACTTGGTTCCAATTTCATCTTGATAGTGCCTCACAGATCACAGTGACAGCTTTTCTGGAAGAATCGCTGATACTGGGTTTACCTTGGTTTTTCTCCACTCGAGGTGGAGAAGCTCTGCATTTTTATTAGCACATACCCAGCACAGACCCATTATTATTATTTACCATTTTAAATGTTTTCTTGGTTCTGATGGATTTCTTAGCTCAGGTAACAGGATGTCCTGGCCTTTAGAGAATGCAGATGGGATGGGTGAGCTTTAGCAAGGATCCCATCTAACTAAGCGCACCACAATATCACCTACCATCTGCTGCAGCATATGCTTAAAAGGCACGGTTTACACACTAAATAGTAAAATTCACGTTTCCGTGGCTCATGTGATCTCCAGTAAAAAATCTTAGCTGTATTTTTAAAGCTATCAGGAACCAAAATAATGACACTTTTTTGCAGGTCTCTGGTGCCTGGAGGGTTTGTTTGCTGAAAAAGGTCCAAGCATCCTGGAAGATCGAGCCCAGCTGCTGGAAAGGACATGTCTGACTTCTCCCTTCTCCCTGGGAGGAGCAGGCCATGGCACACTGAGCATCTAAGTTAAAGGCCCCAAGGAAGGCCACACTGTCAAAAGTCTTGAGTTGATCCTGGAATTTTTAAGGATAGGTCCTGTTTGGTTTGGGGCTTTACCTTGACCAGAGGCCAAGAGAAGAAATACAGGAAAGTACAAGACAGGGCTGTGCCACTCCTGAGAGGGACACTATTGAAAGTGATGTCAGACTGCAGACAAGAACAAAGGAAAAACCACAAGCACAGTCTCCATGGAGGTCCGTCACGCCAAGAGCCTGAGACAACATCTTGTTGCCTTTACTTTTTCAGGGAAATCTGACAAAGGCAGAGGAGGAAAAGAAAAACAGAGAAGAGGATCAGAAGAAGGATGGAAGAGGGAGTCTCACAGGCCTCTCCAAGTAAGCTGGGAATTGTTGAGCACAGAAATAGTGCTCTATGGCGCTACTGCTCCCAGCTCCCAGAACGATGTTGGGTTAGCAAGAGGAAGGGTGATTAGAGGAGAGACAGGGTGACACGCTCCCCCACTAACAATGTGTACACATTGAGCAGCAGACACATTACACCTTCTGTTGACTCAGGAACCCTTTCATTCTAACGTGGGTTCTTACTTGTCCCAAAGTGCCAACATTTCTGAGCTATCTTTTAAGATTTTCACTGACAGACCAGGCATGGTGGCTCATGCCTGTAATCCCAGCCCTTTAGGAGGCTGAGGTGGGAGCATTGCTTGAACCTAGGAGTTTAAGACCAGCCTGGGCAACAAAGCAAAACCCCTGTATTTAAAAAAATACAAAAAAATAAAAAATAACTGGGTGTAGTGGCAGGTGCCTATTGTCCCAGCTACTTAGGAGGCTGAGATGAAAAGATTGCTTGAGCCCAATAAGCTAGCATCATGCCACTGAATTCCATCCTGGGCAACAGAACTAGACTCTGTCTCTTAAAAAAAAAAAAGATTTTCATTGATGCCCGTTAAGTTTTGGTGGGTGAATGATGTATATAATACTGCTCTGGACCTAGTGAGGAGAGGACCATATCTACCTAAATTGGCCATATGAATCTTTGGAAGCATCTTAATCCTGTTGTCCGCATCCTATTTTGTATACTTGCAAAAGATATCCAGAATCTGACCATATTGTATCAACCACTCATTGGCTACCACCTTGATCCAAGGGTAGCAGCCAAACTTCCCCACCTACATTTACCCTAAAGCCTTCTGACTGGTCTCTCCGCTTTTATTTTTGCCCTTTAGCCCACCCCAGCTATTCCAGACAAAGTATACAGTGATGCTTTGAAAACATTGGCCATGTCAAGTCACCTATGCCCTGCATCACTGTAGGATACAGCCCCTGACCTCTCTGACCTCATCCGCTGCCCTCCACTCAGTCACATGGCAGGCTCGCTTCCACCTCAGGATCTTTGCTTTTACAGTTTTCTCTGCTTGGAAAGCTCATCTAGATATTGGCACTCATCACGTCTTTGCTTAAATGTCTCCTTTCCAGCAAGGTCTGCCCTAATTCTCTTTAGAATTGCACCCCTGGCCTACTTTCCCTGGCTCTTTTTCACTTGATTTTTCTCTAGAGCACCCAGCAGTTCTCACCTGGAAAATATGTCATTTACTTATTTTGCTTCCTGTCCATGTTCCCAGTACACTAGAGTAGAAGCTCCATGAAGAGATTTAAATCTGTGTTGTTCACAGTTGTATCCTCAGTACCTAGAAAGGTGTTTTACATTTAGTAGGCACTCAAAAATATCTGTGAATTGAATTTGCTTAATGCTTCCAGAAGTCTTGTGGGCAGCTTTCTTATGTACAGTTTTATATATTTAAAGGTCATGCCTGATTGAAACAAGAAAAACATTTGTAAAATTTTACACACACTATCTTAGGCTGTTCAGCAGTCTGTATATGAAATAGGCTGTAAGTGGCAGCCAAGTGTCCTGTAGATGGAAATCCACACATCACCCACGGTGGCTCGTGCCTGTAATCCCCATGATTTGGGAGGTTGAGGGAAGGATTGCTTGAGGCCAGGAGTTTGAGACCAGCCTGGGGAAAATAGCAAGACTATCTCCACAAAAATTAAAAAAAAAAAAATTAGCCAGGCATGGTGGCACACACCTGTAGACCTAACTACTTAGGAGGCTTAGGTAGGAGGATCACTCGAGACCAGGAGTTTAAAGCTGTAGTAAGCTATGATTGCAGCAATACACTCCAGCCTGGGTGACAGGAGAGACCCTTTATCAAGAAGAAAGAACTCTACACAAGAGAACCTTCTAAGTCCTTGATGTTCCTTCTCAAATGAAGTTTTAGTTCATTGGATGAGGAAAGTGTATCCGTCTTATCATTATCTAGTTTGCATCTGGTGCAAGAAAAATGTTATTGTCTCTCCAATAATTCTTTCTAACAGATCACTTTGGAATATCCTAAATTATCTTAAAATGAAATAAAATAAAGAAACATGAAATGTAGATTTAATGCCAGATTTACCCAAGCCCATCTGTATACTTGTTTATTTTTCAAGAGGCTTGTTTCATTAGAAATTTGGACATAAATGATGAAAGCTTATTGGATTGTTTTTGGTTATGTAGTTGAAAATGGCTGTGGTGGGACAACAGCTTTAGAGGCCTTTCAAGGGTATTATCCAGTATCTTTTTCTGATCTTGTTTACATATACCAGTCCTATTGGCTAAACATACATAATTATTCTCTTGACTTTTCTTTGCGAATTGATATTGCTATTGAAAATAACATCCCTGAAGACAGAGCAAGGTAATATTCATTTTTTAAAAAGCTATCTTATTATGTTTACCTTGCTGTTAAGTGTATTTCTTATTTAGCCTAGAAGTGCTGTAGTGTGGCAAAATATTGTAACTCACATAATGATTGTAATTTAAAAATGAAAACCACTAGGTATCTTTTCTTCTTTGCTTTAGTTTTGCTGGCTGTATGATGGTTTTGGCTCTATCTGTAAACATACATAAAATGAATAACAGTAAATGAATTACAGAGCTATAATTCCATTGAGGGTTCTGGAAACAGCTTTTAGCCTCAAGAGCCAAGCTCTTACAGTCTGTATCAAATCAGAATTGCAAGACAGAATTATAGCTTTATTACTCAAGGTTTGCTTGTTGTTAATTTTATCGAGGACATAAAAGCTAATATAAAGCATCTGTCGCATCCTTGACCCTTTAAGAAAACTGTATCCATGGCAGCTGATATCAGGTAGGAGGAGGAGGCCCCGAATCCTCACAGGGTATCATGAGAGAGAGAGAGAGAGAGAGATGCCTTGTTCCTTGAATATCTCTTTGACACTAGAGAGAGAGAGAGAGAGAGAGAGAGAGAGAGATGCCTTGTTCCTTGAATATCTCTTTGACACTAGATCCCTGTAGTGGGAGGGTTGGGATGAATTTCAATCTGTTCAATCAACACGTAGTTATTGAGCTCACACTGTTGGCAGGTCCTGTTCTAGATGCTGGGGTTATAGCAGTGAACAAATCAGGCAGAATCCTTCCTGCCCTTTTGGAGTACTTATAACTACAACTAAATCAGTACATGTGACAACCCATTTCACACAAAACCAGCTAAGAAAAGATAGTTTAGGAGGATTAGGGCCTTCAGAGCTGGGGTGGGAGTGTGTTCTTTTAAATAGAATGGGTAAGAAAGACTTCACTGATCAAACGTAATTTGGGCAGAGACTCCAAGGAACAGTCTTGATGCAGATTTCTGGGGGGAAAGCCCCCCCGGACACAGAAGGCAGCCAGTGTAAAAGCCTGAGACAGAAGGCTTGGCAGAGGGGGCGGCAGGGCTAGCATGAACAAGTCAAGTGGGTGGAAAGGGAGTGATGGGGGAATGGGGACCTGTGATTAGGACTGGATCATAGATGGCTTTCTGGGTCAAGGGAAGGTCTTGGGATCCTCTGAGAAGAATAGGAAGCCATCATAGAGTTTCAAGCAGAGAAATTACATTTCAAGACGATCATTCTGGCTGCTGCATAGAAGACACACAATTGGGAGACAAGGGTTTAAATAGGAGAGTAGTTAGGCCACTGTAAAAATCAAGGCAATAGATCAGAGTGGCTTGGGAGAAGTGGCAGGTGGAGGTGTTAAGGTGGATTCTACTTTTGGTTACACGCTGAAGCTAAAGCCAACAGAATTTGCTGACAGATTGGATGTGGGATCACTTCACAGTCTCATTTCCCTGGAACTGCTACAAGGTACGCAAAGATCTTTGAGATTACCCCTCCCTCATGCTTCGGACCTGATGATGGGTGCTCAAATATTGATCATATGTGGGGTTGCTTCTTCCTTTGCTTGTTTTTGTCCTGGGCACATATATAGCATTTGCTAGGGCACAAGAGCATGATTTTGCTGCCAATTCTGTTTTCTGAAACTGAACTTTGTGCTGCCACTGCTGGGCGTTCCTACTAAATCTCAGCAGTTCTCCTGGATACAAGAACAGGAAATATCTCCATTCCTCCACATGCCATCACCTCTTTGCATTCATTACTTCTCCACCATAATCTCAGATGTCTCTTTCCTTCAAACTCTACCCCAAGCCTGAATGGCTTTGTGTTTAGACGGATGCAATCTTCATCCTGGCTTTTTTTTTTTTATGCTTCCAGAAAGCTAGCAGCTAGTAGCAAAAAATTATCCGTATCCATCTTTGTTTTAATCATCTCAGATAAGCACAAAATCCCTTTCAGTTTTCTGTCTAGGCTTCCAATTTGTTTTCCTTTCACTATGCCTCTCTCCTCCCTACCAAATTTAAGTTGTTTGGCACATATTCTCATCCTTATTATTTTCATCTTCGGCATATATTTATATAATTTTGTATTCACTCTGGCAAACCACCTTGAGAACTGTGAACAAATAAAGCAAACATAGGGTCCGAACTGGGGAGAGATTTTTCCTTTTTCCATTATCTGGTCGATCCTTCCTAGCACTAGAGAACTGAACACAGCTTTACTGTAATAGGAAACAGCACCAGGAGGGGTAAGTCTTTACCCTACAAATCTTCATTTTTTTCCTTATTGCAAAATAATTGTCATATTAATCATTTATGCAGCTTATCAAATATTTCTGGCTCTGTGCCTTCTGATGCACAAAAGAGGATTGTACCTCCTGGCCCCTTTTTGGTTGGATGAAGCCATGTGATGAATTCTGGCCAATGACTTGTGAGTGGAAGTAATGTAATTTCTCAGTCAGTGCATTTAATTGCCAGAATAAGACTCTAGTTTCTGTCCTCTCTTGGAGATGATGGTGGTGACTTCTAAGATGGTGATCTGGGTCACTGATGGTGGCCTGGGTTACTGAGTTACTCTGGGGTGCAGAGTCTTTTGGCAACCTGTGGTAGATATGCAAAATGAGTGAGAAACTCTCATTTTTGCTACTGAGATTTTTGGGTTATTTATCACTGCAGCATAACCTAGCCTATATTCAGGTCATCTCTTTCTGTGATAATTACTTGAGAACAGGACCTCAGGCAAATAAGGATTTGGATGGATGTAAAGAACTAACCTAAGTTAGATGCCAGAATGGTCTGTGCTGGTCGTGGGAGGCCTAAGGATGACACTAGAAAGGGGGAAAGGGCTGCAAATGGAAGAAGCAGAAGGACTCTGAAGGCAAAATGAAAAAGCAGCTAGTGTTTATCTAAGATTGGTACTGTGGTCTCAGACAGCTTCTCCATGGTGACAGAAAGGAGATTTAGTAATCTCTGTCTAACACTTGGCCTAATCCTAGACGCCTCCTAGCTGGGGGTCACATTTGGTCAGGAGGGAACTTCTATGGTGCCAGGAAGGCAAGGCCAGAGGTGCCTCTGCCTCTGTTTCATAACCTCCAAAGGGGACAGTTGACATGACTCATTTTCCCGGCTCTATTGTGGTTATTCAAATAGTGACCACAGGCAATGTCTGTGAGCAGCTGCTACAAGGTCAGGAGAACTCACCAAGGCCTGATGCTGTTTCAGTACCACAGCATGTCAAAGGAATGATTCCCAGCTTCCTGTAGACACCATTAGCTAAATTGCAGTATCTGCTTCTCGTTATTTTTGCCAAGGTCATTTTTTCTTGCATTGAACCTTGAAGGAAGGACAAGGAGAGAAGTTAGTGCCTTCTGCCTCCCTCTCCTTTGGCGTGAGGTCTGGAAAAGAAGCCTGCTGTTTAGAAAGTTGCTTTGTTTTTAATTGGAATGAAGAGGCTTGAGAGAACCTCTACTTTTTGCTTGTGTTATGATTTTGTGACAGTGGGAAGTCAATCTTAGAGCATTTACAGCTCTCCCGAGCTGTCAGTAACTCAGAGACTTCAACTCCGATTAAAACCTACGACTAAAAAAAATTACCATAATCCAGTGACAGGCATGAAGAGAAAGCCACAATAATACTGATAACAACGTGCCAGTTAAGAGGCTATTATGTTTCGTGCTGTACTACAGCATAGAGAAATCGCCTCAGAGTTGCCACTGATAGAACCAGTGCCTTGTTAACAGATGTGACCTGGTCCATGCAGAGCCTGTCTCAGATGCTTACCTGTATATACCTGTGGGAGGAAAAAGGAGAAGGTTTGTCCACCTAGAATAATTTGTTTGCTGCAAGTTCTGTCGTTGGCAGGAAATGGAAGCTACAAACCAGTGTGGTTATCAGCAGGGAATGGGATCGAAGTTTCAATCCGACAAGTCCAATGATTGCCTGAACCACACTGAAAACTACACTGAAAACTCTCTTCACGGTCCTCAAAGACACTCTGTGTTGTCTCTTTTGTCACCAGAACTGTCCTTCTCTCCATAGTCATCCAAGAAACTTCTTTGACATTCTACCTTGACTTTGGAAACTGAGTAGTAATACCACATACTCTGATCTCATTTTCTTGGGGACTCTGTAGGGAACTCAAGCTGTTTGATGTTCGATAAGCTCATCTGAGTTAAGTTGTTAATGCAGCTAAGCCCTTCTGACTCATCTATTTGCATCTTAACAGGTAACTTTCAGCTTGAAGGCCAAGGTGTTACTACTTAGAATTTAGGGCACAGAAGGCTGGTGTGTATCGGCAGTGATATTTGAGAGCATGAGTCAGTTTGGGGGACACATTAGGTCACACCAGGTAAGTAGCATATTCCTTTGGCTATAGATGCCGGGGGAGTGATACAGCCTTCTATTGGCATTCTGGGACTCTGAATCTCTTCAGCTCTTTAGAATCCGTTCAGATTTCCCCTCTTCCAGTCACCCTTTCTTTAAGGAAATGGAATGAATTGCTTACTGGCCTTCCCTCCGAACTTACTGTACATAGGTACGGTACACATAATCTGGATATACTTGGAGGAATGCACATACAACTGTCATTTAAGCAGCATAGGCAGTCACATATCATAGTTCTGTATGACTGAATAACAATAGTTACTCCACTACCAGCCTAGTAAGCCCTTCTGAGAAAACAAGTTGCTCTTTTGGAATAGAGATTTCAGGTCTAAGAAGCCTCTCTATTTAGCAACTGTAGATATTAATCAAAGACTGCACTGTGCTTGAACTGAGCATGGAAAGGACCCTGTGTGTGTTTCAGTCATACATGCACACACATGCAAAAATACACACAAAGCAGCCTCTAGCAGGAAGTCATATTATGTTAAAAACAAATAACTCTGGATAGGTGGAAACAGGTACCACGTATTTGAAGGGAAATTTGACAAACAAGTGTCAAAAGTCAAAAGTCTTAAAAACGTGCATATGCAGGGCCAGGTGCGGTGGCTCACACCTGTAATCCCACCATTTTGGGAGGCCGAGGCGGGTGGATCACTTGAGGTCAGGAGTTTGCCAGCAGCCTGGCCGGCATGGTGAAACCCTGCCTCCACTGAAAATACCAAAATGACTTGGATGTGGTGGTGTGCTACTCAGGAGGCTGAGGCAGAGAATCGCTTGAACCTGAGAGGTGGAGGTTGCAGTGAGCTGAGATTGCGCCACTGCACTCCAGCCTGAGTGACAGAGTGACTCTGTCTAAAAACAAAACAAACAAACAGAAAACAAGAGTGCATATCCTTTGAGCCAGCAATTCTACATTGAGGAATTTATCCTTAAGTTTTAATCAGAGATGCTCACAAAGAATTATGTATTAGTACAGATGATGATGTTCATCAAAGCACTTTCAGTAACAAAATATTAGAAATAATTCACATAATAACAAATGGAGGATCCATAAATGGCTCTTGTATTTATAAACTGGGAAACTAAAGTTTAGCCACTAAAGTTCCTTTCTTAGGACAACAATTTAATGGCATGGTAAAATGCTCACAACCTACTGATAGATTTAAAATTAGGTTGTAAGAGATAGTGAGTTTAATCTAAGTTTTTTAAAATCTATATAATATGCATGGAAGAAAGACTAGAAAGACACACACCAAAGTGTTGACAGTGGTTATCTCTGAGTGCTTAAATGAGGGATTTTAAATTTCTTCTTTATATTTAAAAGTGTCAGTGAGAATTATTACTATTATATTTAGAAAAAGGTGATTAAAAATATAAAACTCACTTGTTCAAAAATTCCGAGCCTAGCAAAGATCCTTGGGACAGATTAGGAAAAGTTCTGGTTTTGGATCAGAGTTAAAACTGGGTTGAAATCCCAGTTCTGCCACTTGCTAGTGGCATATTATTTAATCTAAGCCTTAATTTTCACTTCTGAATGATTGGGGACAATAAAACCCACCTCCTGAAATTATCTAGAGGATCAATGGGGAACATTAAGAAATAATAGTTGTTATTTTTAGTGGCACAATGTTCTGGTTTTTCACTTCTGCCTCGACCATCTTAGTTACCTGTGAGAGTCATGCCGGCTATGGATTTGTCCACTCACAGATTAACGTTTTAAAATGTAGATTCAATTATAATTCAGGAATGACAAGGCTAACAGATGAGGGAACGACTGGCCATTGAAAAGATAGTCTGTTACACTTACAGATCCTGAGGGGTGGGGCACACCACACAATGGGGGCCACCTGGAGAAGCACTGAGATCCGTCAGGAGGCAGAGGGAGTGGGGGGGAAATGTAGGTGAGAGGCTTTATTGTGATTTCTGTGAAGGAACAGGCACGCTGGGTAAGCAGGCTTAGGATTGGCTGGTTTTAGTGGCTCTGGGGCACAGAGGCTGTCTCTAATTGCTTGGATCCTGGCCTTGGGGTGGTTAGGGCAGATGGACAGTTATCCAGAGTGTGAGATGGTTGGGGTATAGGCTCCAAAT